GAACGGTTGTGGAACAGGTGTGGCTGCATGTGGCTCCACATGTGGGGGAACCACCAGAATTCTTTGCGGTGCTTCAGCAGCATGTCGTCCCCTGCATCCTCCTCCTCTGTCCCTACAACCACATACTGACCACTGATCACAGCCAGGCAGCCCGTGCCCTTCTTTGCTTCTGGGCAGCCCTGACCATCTTTCACCCTTGGGACATGATTGACCCCCACCCACTAAGGCCTTGCTTGCTCCACCCCTAACTTGCCCTCCCCCCACCCAGGTTTATAATTCATGCCCACCACCAGCTCCTCGAGCGGTCTGCCCAGGGCAACGAACAATGAAAGGACAGGTGATTATGGACATGCTTGACGCAGCATGGGAATCATAAGCTCACCAGTGTGGTAGAACTTGCCCGAGAAGCCCAGGTTGAAGGTGAAGTTGGGGACCAAGGTCCTGAGTTTGTTCTGGGTGGTCAACAGAGCCTGGGAACAGAGCAGGGGACAAGAAAAATCAAGAGAGCAGAATAAGAAGCCACACGAGGAGCAGTATCCACTTGCCTGCAGAGGGCAGAGTCCAACAGGCTGGAGGCAGCCTGGCTTATAAGAAACAAAACTCTGATGTGCAGGGAAAGAAAAAGACTGACCTCCACGTCAGCCACCTTCATGCGGGTGCCTTCCTTGCCCACAAAGATGTCATCGATGTCTACCAAGATGTAGCGGTCCAGGTCCAGGCAGAGACGCTTGCCCGTGAGGTACGCCACCGCATCGACAAAGACAAGTTTGTGGAGCCAGAAGGAAAGGCCGTGGCCAAACAGCACCCGCTGGATGCCATCATGCAGCCCCAGGTCTTGCACCACAGTAGGAAGGCGGGCCCGACGAGACCCTGGTCCTGGCACGGGGGGCTCAGCTGGCCGCAGGCTGGCGAGAAGCACTGCTTCATACGTGCTGTGATTGGACTGGAAGACGGTCCAGTCATCCCCGGGCAGGGGCCCAGGTTCTAGGCGGCTGGGGCGAGTGAGATGCAGTAGAGGGGCAGAAGGATTCACTTGGTAGTCCCGGAGCCCCAAGTTTGAGTGTAGAAAAAGAGGAAAGCCCTTTAGCTGGGCACTCAGTAGGCTATGCTCATGGGCTCGGAAAAAGCCAATGATGCCCACGCCATACTCCACACAGTACTGGTCTAACAGCTCCCTGCTCGAGGCATCCAGGTTGACATACTTGAGCAAGTTCTCATAAATGACCAAGACATAGCGGCCATGGTCACGATCAGTCAAGGTGGGCATGTCCCCTCGACCAGGTGCCAGCTCGGTGCTGTAACGAAAACGGCTGGACTCCAGGATAGCCACAATCTCCTGGCCCAGCTGGGAGTAGGCGCTCTCCACAAACACAAGGACCACAGGTTCAGTGCGGGCTGTTTCTGGAGACTTGGGAGGCCGTGGTGGGAGTGGAGGCTGCGCAGGGCCAGACACCACAGCACTGCTGCAGTCTCCCAAGGGGAGGGGCAGGGGATCCTTGGCCTTAGGGCTGGTAGACACGTAGTAAGCCAGGAAGCCCATCGAACCCAGGCTGAAAGCAATCAGCAGCAGTATGAGGCGGTGCAGTTCCAGCTGCCGAGCTGGGCGCACCACCTTCCACAGCTGAAGCATGACGGGGAAGGGCAGGAGGAAGGGGCGCCGCCTCAGCGGATGGGAGGCTGGAGCTGTAGTGGCCAGACCGTCCTGGGAGGGTGAAAGGCCAGGAAAACAGGGGAAGAGGGTGCCCTCAGGGTTGGCTTCCAAAAAAGGTGGACTCAAGTCCTCTTAATATGGGGTAGGGGAAGTAAAGGGGACAGCAGGGGCTAATTGCACACAGTCCCTCAGGGCTCAGGTCACCATGGCCCCATGGCTTCCGGCTGCAAACCCAGCCAGGTTCAACTTGGGGACCTGGCTGGGCTCCTTACATTACGGGTCAGCAAAATTTCCACTCTCTGCCCCTACTGTCTGCAAGAAAAGAGAAATGAGCAGGTTACTTCTGTCCTGGGAGTTGTCATCGATCCAAGTTCCCTGTCACCCATCTCTCTTACCTCCTGTTCACCCGGATACCAGGTCCTCCGACGAGCTCCTGAAGAAGAAGAAGAGCCACTGAGTCCCGGACTCCAGTGTCACTGTGCATCCCCTTTCTCAGCACGGCCTCGTCAATGCCCAAATCTCCCTCCCCCAGCCAAGCGTGCAAAGGGGACAGGAGGGCAAACAGCCCAGGAAGAATACAGATAGGTCTGTGGTGACAACAGTCCCCAGCCCAGGCCCGGACAGCTGGCTAGCAAGAACAAGTGTTGGTCTTCCTTTCAACGAGACATCAGATAAGAGGAAACTCATGATTCTTCTAATCTTCTTCATTAATCAAACCCAAGAGCACTAACGAACGCCCCATCACAGGGACACTATGGTGGAGGAACTCAAGCGGAAATAGCTAGCTAGCCAGTATTCTAGAACCTGGGGATTCATTCTCTGCTCAATAAAAATTCCCCCTACGCTACAGCTCCCCTGTGCTAGTCAGGAGAGGATGTGAACACGTAAAGGGGACTGGGACCTGAGACCAGCTGGGCAGTTGAATCCAGAGTCCAATTAGTCCCTGGTCTCCTCCAGTACTCCTGAACTGAGCTAAGCTGTACTGCACCTGAGCTAGCCTGGGATGTGAGGGCTTGTGTCTGGTTACAGAAACACAGCAAACTGAGTGGGGCTGGATGACAGAGAGCCTCAGGCACACCCAGCTGACGCAACAGCTAAGAGTCATAACAGAGGGATCGGAAAATACAATGTTCAGGAGATTTGGTTTGGGAGACTTCTTAGCCTGACTTCTCGACATCTCCACTGGTGGCTGGCAATCCCACTCAGTGCCCAGTGCCTCTACACCCATCTCATTGCTCTTTCAGAATTGAGACTATTACGAAAAGTTTGTCCTTGGCCTGGGAGGAATGGAGAAGAGAGGGAGGAGAGGGGTGTGACGGTGATGGGAGTGGGTGAGTCCAGGACAAGCAGAGGCAGGAAGAAGTCACTGAGGCAAAACAGATCCTCAGGAATTACTGTCACAACACCTGGGACAGGTCCCACTTTCGCAGCAGGCACCCTCTGCCTTTTTTTGACAGCCTCCTCTGTTCCGAGGGTCTCCCAAAGTACAAATGGCTCAGCAATGTTTCCCCTTTCCAGTGTAAAAGTGACCCGCCATTTAGCAGGTCCTTTCCTTGGCATTACGGGGTATGAACCTGTCCCACGATCCTGCACAGTGGCAGCAACCCCACCCTGTGTTGCTAAACCTTTCCAACTCAGGTTGGGAGTCTCAGGGAGCCAAACCGTTGGAAAGCAGTAAGTATGTGTATTTAATTCTTCTCCCAGTCCCAAGAGGTAGTAAGGGGTGCACACTATGACTACCTCCATTTCACAAACGAGTGCCTGAGGCTCAGAGAGGCTGAGGAACTTGCCCAAGATCACACGGCTCAGTCAGTGGAGGAACTGGGGCTCCAAGCTGGGCCTGTCAAGCTCCAGGGTTGGTGCTCTTAACCACTGCATGTTCGCTTCATACCTGGAAGAGCAGCAACGTTTAGAGAAGGGTGTGGGCTTCTAAATGCTTTAGTAGGAACGTGTGTGTGTGTGTGTGTGTGTGTGTGTGTGTGTGTGGACTGGGGGGTGTTGCATGCAGTGTGTGTGTGTGTGTGGACTGGTGGGTGTTGGGTGCAGTGTGTGTGTGTGGACTGGGGGGTGTTGCATGCAGTGTGTGTGTGTGTGGACTGGGAGGTGTTGCGTGCAGTGTGTGTGTGTTGGGGGGTGTTGCCGGCCCAGGGGACTGACAGCGAAGGACCTCGACCCAATCCATGTAGGGGGCAAGTCACGCGGGGAAGGGGTAGGCACCGGGAGCTGAGGTTGCGTGGACACCAGCGAAGCAGATGTCGGGCGAGGGAGGAGGGGGTGCCGAGCAGGGATCGGGGTTCACGCACGAAGGGACCCTGTCGAGGGCGAAATCAGGGGTCGGGGGGCAGGGGGGTGTCCAGGAGAGCGCAGCGGCCGGCGGGCATGAAAGGGAAGGGGACGCGCCGAAATGATTCTGGGTGACACGGAGCCAGGCACTGGAATGGAGGAACCCCGAGCGGAGGAGGAGCCCCGAGTGAGGGGCGAACTGGCCCAACTGAGACTCCCACGAGAGACGCTACAGGAAGGGAGCCCGGGCGAGGGGCGCGCTGGGCCGCACCGAGGGGCCGTCCGGCACGACCCTGCGGGTGGCAACACTCCCGGGAAGTGAGGAGAGGAACTAAGGGCAACCGCAGGTGGGGGCCACCATCTCGGCGTGTTTCGGGGTTCTTCTCAAGGGCAGCTCACCCGGCGGACTGGGCGGCGTCCCCTCTGTCCCCGGGCTCCGCCGCGTCCCGGCGCTGCCCGGCTTCCCCGCTCTCGGGCCCTCGGGCCAGGTCGCGGCGACTCCGCCATCTCCGAGCGAACGCTCTGCCGCAGCCGGACCCAACCACTGCCCTCACGGGGGGAGGCGGCGCGCTTAGCGCCCGCTTCGGCTCTCCACCGGCTCCAGACCTGGCAGCCACCGCACAGAGAAGCGGGAAAACCAAATTGCCGCAGCGCTCAGCCGAACTGCGGCGTCCGACAGCGGGGTCTCCGCAACGCTCCAGAAGCAGCACACCCCCTCCCCTCCCCGCCGGGTGGCACAGTCTGGGCAACGTCAGGCGCCGCGACTCCCTGGCCAGGGGCGGGCTCGTCCACTCAGTCCTGCGGAGGGGGAGCCGGGTCGGCCCACTGAGACGGAGGGGAGTGGGCGGGACGGGGCGGGGCCACACCGCAGCCCACCCCCTTGGACCCGCCCCCCGGCCCTCCCCGCAGCAGCCCCTGGGATCGGGTTGAAGGCTGATGTGCAGTTTAATTGTAAAAAGGGTCCCTGGGGAGTGAGAGAAGGTACTTCATCTGAGACTTTTAACACCGGGCAGCTAAAATTCGATCCCCCCTGCCGGCGAACCTCCCAAAGCAATAACACAATGGACTGTTTAAAGGTTATTTTATTAAATATCTTCAGTTCAAGGTTTCATTGTAACAAAGCTATGAAGGGTCTACCAACATTCAGAACAAACACTAACTAATTTTAAATTATTTCTATGTCATCATGCAAAAATTCTGCATCAAATGCCTTCCTTTTCCTGTTTTTAAAAGGTGATTTAGTTTTGTCTATTGTCTATAGATGCTGACATTAGCCCCAGAAGAGTTATGGATGCTAGGAAGTGGGGCTGGAGCAGCCATATGAAGCTATGGGTCTCAAAGAATTCTAAGACCGTGTGTCTTCAAGCCAGCAAAACCCAACCCTGTTGGTGAAAGGGATCTGCGTGCTGGCCCTGCAGGCTGCAGGGCGGGATGGGGCCGGGGCATGCAGGAGGTGCTTCGAGGAGCCCGGCTAAACCCAAGCACCAGCACCTGTGAATTCGCACTCTTCTCAGTTGGCTCCAAAGCAAAACCTCTCTCTCCCCAGCTCCTGTGCCTCCAGAAGATAGCCCAGGAAGCTGGGGTTTGTCGACCCACCTCCCGCCCCCACCCCCGACAAAGTGCAGATACTCCTGCACAGCTATTTTTGGGGGGGAGGGAGATAGGGGACCAAGGCTGTGACCAACTGCTCCTCCATTATCTGACCCTGGACTGCATATCTTGGTCTCCCGAAGCGAGGCTCTTTGAGCACAGGGCAGGCCAATGGATGCAGGAACCTTGGCTCTGGACTTCTCTTTTGGGTACATGCAGGTGCAGGGGGTGAGGCCCATGCAGATTGTCCAGCAGTAAGTCTATACTTCAGTTGGTCAATAGAAGAGGCCTCTCTGAGAGGACAGCCCCTCCTCTTGTCAGAGCAGTTGGGTCAATCTCAAAGACAGGAAAAAAACAGACAAGGATGAGCTGCAAGGGAAGTAGGAGAGAGGCGGCCGGAGGGCAACCTGAATGCATAGAAACAACCGCCCCTTCTCCCGCTGTCTCGCTCTGCCCATCCCACAGGGGCTCTCGGCAGAGGGCCCAGGCCCAGACAGAAAACCAGCACTGCTCAAGGTGGTGTGGGCAGCCTGGTCAGGCCGGCTCTCCTTTGCCAAAATTGTAAAAGAAACCACAAAGCAGAAGCACCCACCCCCGCCCTTTCCCGGCCACAGGATCAGGCAAACATCAGGGCCAAGGGCACTGTGCCTCCGAGTAACGGATGAGTGAGTGAGGACAGTCAGACTAGCACGAGATTCCTCTCCGGCTCCGTCACGAACACACTTCCACAGCACCAATTCTCTTCCCTTCTATGCTACGTGGAACAGTACAGCAACGTTGGGGCCCTCCGTCCTGAGGTCTCTGCATCTCAGCTGCCTCCACAACAGGCTGGGAGCTCTGCCTCCTCTCCCAGGTAGGCCTCATGTCCACCATGTTGTCCCCAGCCGCATTCCAGGCACCTATGCGAGGTCTGAAGATGTCCACTCCAAGACCTGGGGTAAGCAGGCCACCTTGGGGGCTACACTCATATCACAGTCCCCAAAACTCTGTCAGTGTTCTTGCCTGGTCCCCCCGCCAAGTCTGTGGGGCCAGAGGCCAAGCACACCTCTGCAGCACTGGTGGGTGAGCCCGCTGTTCATGCCAAAATGGGTGTCACACAGACTTCTGCCTTCTTGCCGGCCCAAGGGCTATTGGTGGTTTTAAAACGCATCATGGTAAGTTTTCCGCTGCTGCTTCTTTTTTTTTTTTTTTAAACAATCTTTTTTTTTTTCCTTTTTTTTTTTTTCCTTAAATGTAAAAAAACACCTCGGTACAGCAGAGACAGACACGAAGGGCGGGCGGGAGGGCTGCATGCAGGGGCGTGCATTGGCTGCTGCCGCTTTGTAATTTAATTGTTTTAAACCTCAAACGAACAGGACTGCCGCTGTCACTCCGGCCCTCCAGAGCCACTGGCTGCGAAGGTTCGACCTCCGGCTGGAAATCTCCTAATACCCCTGTGGAACAGGACAGAGTGTGGACACAGGGCAGAGTGTGGTGAGCATACAACTGGGTTCCAGGCACTCACACACCCCACACAGATGGCCCAGGCTGCCCGAGAAAGTGGAGGGTGAGTGAGCAGCTCACATTTAAATACAACACTGCCTCGAGTTTGCTGGGCACTCTGCAGGGGCTTCACCTATGTTGTCTCAAGGTAACCCTCACAGCAGTTCACTGTGTGAGGGCCTCACCCTTGCTCTCTGTTGCACAGGTGAGGCAGCTGAGGGTTAGGTGAAGGAATTTGTCTGAGTTGGCCCGATTTGGAGTCTCCAGGTCACATCCAAGTCTGTGACCTGCCTTTGCCATGCCTCTGGGATGGGCCACACCTTCTCCCCCCACCTGCACTTCCCAACATTGTCTTCTTCCTCTGGTCCCGTTCCCTCCAGCCCCTCCCACATCACTCCCCACCAGGTGCACCTGTTGCTGAGCTCACTGCAGTGGTGCGGCAGGGGCCCCTGAGCAGTGGTAGTGGACATTGAGCCACTTGCCATCCCGGCGGTGCCAGACCCGGGTCTCCTCCGACTGGCTGGTGCGAGGCCGACCCTGCCCGTCGATGTACTGGGTGAGCCGGATGTAGGCGATGCAAGCTGCGTCCTCTCCAATCACATGGACGTGTGGGTTTAGGATGGTGGTATGGATGGGCTTGCTATTTTTGGACAGGACTGCAAATGGGCAGGGCAGGGCAGGTAGGAGGATGTCAGGCCTGGGCACCTGAATTTGCCTCCCAGACTGCACTTCCAAGTCTCCTCCCACCCCCTACCATCTCCAGCAACCGCTTCCAGTGTCCAAGTGCCCTCACCCCCCTCCAGAGGCCCCGTTACATCAGCCACAGTTATCCAAAAGGAAGAGAAAGACAGGTACCAGGGACAACAGCAGCTATTGTTTTCATCACTGTGCTGGGGTTTTACATGCATAACCTTAGTTTACACTAATCATTTATAAGGAGATGTCTCAAGAGATTAATTTGCCCAAATCACACACATTTGAACTCAAGACTATGAGACCACGGCCAAAGCCACTGGTCTTCTGCCTGTGTTGGGGTGGTATTTAGATGCCTTAAGGGTTGGCTTGTCCTGGACTAGGGCTGCAGAGTGAAATCGTGACCTTGAGGTATCCGCACTGATTAGTGATTTGCTATTTAACAAGGTACCAAAGCTTAAACACAAAGTCATGGAAACACCAAACTTAGGGTATCCCCTAGAGCTCCAAGGACCCTGTGGGGGAAAGCTAAGGAGGGCGGAGTGCCACGATGAGCACATGCTGGCCAAATGTGCTGTTGCTACTGAGATGCACATTTCTAGTCCAATTCAAATACAAGATGCTACAGGAGACGTTTCTCAGAACAAACAGACTGTGGAATTGCCTCTGGCTAGCAGAAAGCCTTAAATGGCTGAAGGGTCGGCACGTGGAGCTGAGATGTGGAGATGGTAGGAGTTGGTAGACAAAACAATGACAAACAAAATACAACTCAAGTGGGGTGGGGAAGGGCCAGGATAAAGTGGAGAAGAGAAAAAAAAATAAAGGGGAGGCATCACACACTGTAGACATGTATGGAACTATCACACTATACCCCATCAATGTGGATTTAAAGTAAAATTATATAAAACAATGAGGGGGAGGGTTTCAGAATGGGAAAAAATGGGGCGGGGTTGATGATCAGTTCCTTATCTGGTGGAACTTATAGGAACTATCCAAGTGTACATGCACCTGCCTCCATCCAGGCCACCTGCTTCCTCTTCCACCAGACCCTCAGCTCTGGATCTCACAGACACCATCGGGGCCCTGTTGCTACCCCCGTTGGAGTCTGGCTCTAGTTTCTTCTCTGCTGTGACCACTGTGGGCACAGAGCTTTTCCCTGCTGAGAGCATCTCAACTTAATCTCCAAGGTTTTCAGTTTGTTTCAGAAAGAGGTGAGGCTTCAAGAAACAAGAGTGACCCTGAGTGTGGCTCCTGGGACTCCTGGAAGCAGCTGGACAGGCACTCGGGGTCTGGAGCAGAGGGCCTTCCTAGGAGCCGGTTTAGGACCAGAAGGGCACAAGACAAGCAGAGCATAAGGAAGCAGGTGGACGGTGAGGGAAAGGGAGCCACGGGAGTGAGAAGGTGAGCAGGGGACGGAAGCACAGGGTGAAGGGGCAGGCAGGAGTATATCAGCAGCACGAACCCACTCACGATTCTCAAAGTAAAACTTATGGAAATCCATCCCCTCCACGAGGTTACCAAGGGCCTCTGGCTCAAAAGAAGTGAGGCCTGGATCACAAATCTTCCTGCAGGGGAAGAGAACAGGGCAACCCGTCAGGCTTTCGTGGGAGTTCTGTGGCTTCCCGCCTCATCTCTGGAGTATGTTGATGCAGCAGGTTGGCTAGCTTGTTGGCCATTCCTGAGGAGTTGCCCAACATCTTCTAGGGCTGACTGCCTGCCAAGCCAACTGGTCCTGGCCTTTCAGCCACCAGCAGGACACCATGGGTGGGTTCCATCACATTGAAAGGTCCTGGAAGGGCTCCCAGCCTAGGGGGTCTACACTGCCCAAGGCCCAGCCCTTCCTTTCCCTGGGTCCGAGCAGCGTTTTGGAAGCAGGCAAGGCTGAGCACTCATTTTGGGTCCCTACTCACGTGTAGGCCTCAAAGTCCCCATTGTTGATGGCTTCAATCAGCTGCTCTGTGATCTTTATGATCTCCTGTTTTCTCACTGTAAGGGGAGGAAAAATCCACCAATTTACCTGCTGGGTGACCTCTGGAGACAGAGAGCCCTCCCCCATCGTTCGGGGTGTCCCCATGATTGATCGCCTTCAGAAACAGCCCCCTTATGTGTCCTTAAGGCTCTTTGCAGGAAGAGTGAGGCCACCTTTCTCTTCAGCCCCCTCTCTGTATCCTTAGAACCAACGCCCACCTCCTCTAGGGGTGCCTTCGTTAGCTATAGTGTTCGGGCCTTTACCTCCTTAGCCACCGACAACCACAGTGCAGCAAGCACTCTTGCCTGTAACAGTTGATGAGCCGGGAACATCAGAACTGCCCTATCCAGTCTGTATCTCATCTTTGGCAGGTGCAGCCTGAGAAGAACCTCGCTGTGCACCTGTCACTCCCCCCTCCCCATCTCCATTTACTTCTCTCACCAGCAGGGACTCAGGCAGGTCTGTTACCATTCCCTCTCACAGCCCTCACAAACCTGGATTTGGGGAGTAGGTAGCCAAAAGAGTCAAACCCAGGAGGAGCAAGGATTCAGCCAGAGGGAAAACAGTCCTGGGGGGACCACTCACTCTCCCCACCATGCTTATCTCCTCCCTAGGGTCTTTCTGGGATAAATAATCTTGCCAGGGGAAAACCTCACAACATCATCCCACTGCAGGGCAGCTTCATTTCCCAAGGAACAAGCCTTGGAAAAGCTATGTCTCTCATTGCAGCTGTCACGCTGGATGTGGCCCTGGGGGTAACCAGGACAAGACTAAGCCTGAGCCCCCTCCCCAGCCTACAGGAGTATCCACAATTAGCAGGGAGTGGTGCCAGGGGAAGGGAGGATTCAGCTATTTCTGAGTGTTGGGCTGGCCAAGGCCACAAGCCCTTCCTCAAGGGAGCCAGAGGCTACAAAACAGATGCAAGCCTTACAACAGCACCGCTGGCCAGTATAGCCAAGGGCACAATTAGGATGAGCTGGCATCACCAGAGGTGCAGTGGGAGAGCACCCCACAGCCATCAGCACCACCAGGTGGTGGCTCTAGGTGAGCAGGCAGCCAGTGAAACCACCAATGCACTTGGTGGTCCCTTTTTACAGGGGCAGGCAGGTCCTACGCATGCAGCATGCAGCTCCTCTTCAGGCGTCTGCAGGGCCTGACTGAGGCACCACGGTACAGAGGTCTGTGTGCTGAGACTATGAGAGTTGGCGAGCAGACAAGGCAAAGACTTCCTGTCTCAGCCAGAACCCACATACCCATGTCATCTGCTGCTAACTCAGTGAGGCACGGGGCAAGGACTTCTCCTAGCTCAGTTACAGTTCATGACAATACTCTAAGGAAGGGGCCGTTCTGCTTCCTTCACAGATAAGGAAGCTGAAATTCTGTCCTTTACACACTTTGGTGTAGTTGCACTTCCAACTCAGGCTTTCCATACTCAAGCCTTGTGCTCTTAGCAGGACATTGTGCCGAGTCTCTGGGAACATTATATCCCTGCTATGGGTGCCATGGCCTCCACTCCAGGCCCCACACTTGACCCTGGCTGCTGCTGAGGCAAGACGCACACACTGCACACCCTGGTTGCCTGATATTCCCTTTCTCCCCTCCTCTTGCATCCAATCTTCTGGTATTTCTAGGGGTCCCCAACTCTGGGCCCCTGCCTGGTACCATCAGCACCTTGAGCCACTCCCCACCCCAGCAGAGGCCATGCTCCCAAAGCTTACAAAGATGGGCAGCTCGGCTGAGTGGACAGCTCTGGTTGGCGGGGGGGGGGTCCCCAGGGGTCCGAGAGGGGTGCAAGGGACTTCAGGATGAGCCAGGGAGATGGAAGCCAGAATGTGCCTCCCTCACACTTACTGGCTGAGGAGCAGAGAGAAGGCTGGGGCTGCATGCCTGCAGAAGGGGCTGGTCTGTCCCGGGAGCTCCTTCCTTCAGGCCCCGAGCTGCCATTCCCAGTGCGGAGCGGGGCAGCTAGCCAGCCAGGGCAGGGCAAGGGCAGTGCAGCCAAAACAAACAGAACAAGGCAGGTGAGCGAGCAAGCCGGACAGGACCCGAGCCCGTGGCACTGCAGAGCCGGGGCAAGGGGACGCCTCGGGCTGCTGTGGACACTGGACCACATCCCACGCCGCTGCCTCTGCCAGAGAGGCCTCCCAGCTGACGGCACCAGGCAGGCTCACTGACCTGGGGTTCCAGGCTTTGGAGGAGCCTTAAAACAGCCTGGACAAGAACCCCTGCTCCTGGGGATGACAACTGAGGCGACAAGGTCCCAATATCAAGAGCCCAGAATAAAGACGCACCCCGCTCTGCCATCACTGTCAGAACTGAACTGATCTGACCTTCGACAAAGCAGCCCTGAAGATACTGCCTTCACTGCCTCACAGATCTATATTTTTTATTTTGGTTCCCAAACGCCTGGTGCCCTACAATGCTCTGAGCTCTGACCTCCATCCTTCCTAAGATCACTTACGGAAGCCAATGGGAGTCATTTCCATGAAGTGAAACCAAAGAGCAGAACGGGCATTTCCAGTGGTCTGCTCTGCCAAGCCCCTGTGTCCTCTGGCACTCTGGCCAGCCTCAGGCTTAGTTCGGTAGCCTTTCCAAGACTATCAGGACACAGTCTATCTTCACAGAAAACAAATTGGTCAGCTTGCTTATGCCAAGATCTCAGAAACAGTGCAATCGGTTCATCCCAGAGTACTCAGGATTATAGCCAAAACATCTACACTCTGGGATCTGCCTCAGTGCTGAAAAAACCAAGACAATTGGTCATCCTAACTTAAAACTCATAACACTAGTAGGCTGCTTCCTCAGGGACTTGAGAAGCCCCCTGTCCTGGCCTGTTGCATCATTATCGGCAACAGGAATGGCTCTCTGAGCCCTGCCCCCTGGGAAAACTCTAGATCAGCTCTCCCAGGCTCAGAATTCAAGAAGAGAAGCCTTGTCCAGCAACACTGTGGAAAGGCGCTTTGGTGCCAAGCCTTCTCCTGGGGTGTAAAGAGCCCCCAGTCCCAGTTCTGCGGGACAGGCAAGGAAGGGGCCTCGCTGGAGCCAAGGTCCCCTAAGAGATTCCTTCCCCTTGTAGGGTCAGCACCTACCTTTGAGGTCCTCATCTTCTGTAGTGGTATTGCAGCTCTCTGTGGAGCCCTGTAGGCCAAAAAGAATATGTTTCTATATGCTCGGGCCCTGGAGCTTGGAGGAGCCAAGTAGAACAAATGCAGGTGTATGCTCCTATAAGAGGTGTAAGGAGGAATCATGGAATGTTCTACCTCTACCCTTGCTTAACCTCTGGCTCCCCAGTGTTTCCCATTTTCTTAAACGGCACCATCGATTCAGCTCCTTGGGCTCATCCCTGGTCTCACTGTCGATTCTTCCTGTTCTTTTCCCCTGCGCCTCAGTCACCCAACCACAAAGCAGATCTGTTAATCCTAACTACAGAAGAAATCCCATCTCTCAGCTCTTCCTGTGCCACACCCCTACAGTGTGAGTCCAAACTGCAGACATCTCACTCTGGGATTTACTACAACAGCTTCCTGGGTCTCCCTATGCTTGCCTTCTTGTCTACATCATGGCCGGAGTGATCACTCAAGGTGTAAATCAGATGATACTGCTTCCTGGCTAAGATGAACAACTTTTCTTTGATGCTAGAAAAGTGCAATTGCTATCAGAGGGAGGGAGTAGGTCTTTCCTCCCGCTTGCCCTGCTCTCAGCTCTGCCTGGTCCCTTCCAGTCCTTCCACTGGTCTAGACCATGCCTCCGCACTTGCAGATCTATTTGCCTAGGGCACTCTGGAGACTGCTCGGCCATCTCCTCCCAGCCTCTGTTCAGTGTTCAGATCCTTCTGAGAAAAGCCCTTGCCTTACTGTCTCATTAAAGACTGTGTTCATGCTCTTTACTTTGCACTCCTTCCTTCAGAGCATTTATCAATACTGGACCTTGACTTGATTTGTTACTGGCGTGTCAGGCGCCTCCCCTGCCCAACTGTGGACAAGAAATGTCCACAGTTGCAATCAGAGCCGTGGACAGGGCATTTGGACTCAATAAACATATCCCAATGTTGGCAAAAATACGAAAGGTCAAAGGAGCAAAGCAATAGTTCATGCTCCAAGTCTGTCTGTACCTTGCTTCTGTGCTTTGAAGCTAAGAAGGATACTCATTCAAACTTCACAATTCATAGAAGGAAGTTCTATTATTATAATTCTCAGGTTTAAGAAAACTGAGGTGCCAAGTGATTATGTGACTTATCTAGACCCACACAGCCAGGATGCAAACCAAGTCTGTTTGTCTGCACAGCTTGGGCTTAGGTCAGTTATACTTCCTTTTCAGGATACAGCAACCAACAGGCACACACCACCTCCCCCACCGACCCAGGCTCTCTGCTGCCAGTCCAGAAAGCAGGAGCCAGGCCTCAGAGCCACTCACCTTGATCCCATCTGTAGCATTATGCACTACGGTGGTTTGTGGCTCCTGTGAGAGAGATAAAAATTATCCTCTTGATACGGGCATGGATGGATCTTCAGCTCTTCCCTATCCCAGTAACCCGACAGATTCCATGATAACCACAGAGGCCTGCCCAATGCCCAAAATATCCTGGATTAACTGGGAACCTAGGCAGCCAGGAAACCCTGGAAAGAAGCAACAGCAGTAGCTGGAACAAAGAGGTCTGGCATTTAAGTGGAAGTAGTGCCAGGGAAACTGAGGACAGGGCCTTTTGTCCTCAATCCTGCCGGCCTTCAGAACGCTTTACACATGGAGGTCCCATGGAGCAGACACTGGAGGAGCTGTAGAGCTGAGGACACAGGTCAGGCCCTGCCACCAGTACTCACCAAGGGGAGTATGGGAGGCATGGACACAAAACAGCAAGGGCCCCGAGAAAAACCCGAGATGCCCCCTCAGCAAGTTGAGGCCTCTGCCCTCACCTTTTGCCCTCCCAGGAGTTTTCCTGGACTCTCAACACTGTGTCACACAGCATAGGGTCTGCAAGAAGCAGAGGAAGGAGCAGGTATAATAGCTCCTCCTAACTCTAGTTAGCACCTTGAGCACAGGGTGCTCATGGAACACACAGCACCTCCTTCGAAGAGCCCAAAGAGAACTCAGGGCAGCTTGGGCTCTCCAGGAGTTCAGAGCCTTCAGCACCATCCAGAGGTGGGGGACCCCAGCCCTCCTTCCTGTTCTTGACTGTGCAAGGGAGACTGAGGCAGGATTTACAAGGGTCCTTCAAGGACAGATGCGCCTGTCCCAAGAGACCGCTCCTTTTCTAAGCAACTCACCTTCCTGGCCCTCCCACCACATACCCACTGGGGGTCCCAGCCTGGGGCTGGGAGGTTTAGTTGAGAGCCCTGACCACTCTCCCCACCAGAAGCAAAAAGGGACAGGAGTGGCACTTCTGCCATGCAGGATGTAGTGTGGCCAAGCAGGACAATGGAAGGCAAGGGAGAGGGTCTGGGCGGAGGGGTGCACACAAAGCAGCCTGCTCTAGGGGAGTAAGAGGCAGGAGCCCCAAGAGGCCAGGGAGGGAGAGCAAGAAAAGGAAGAGGGGAGGAGCGGGAGGCAGCCAGGGGTAGAGGTGGAGAAGCTGTAGTCAGGAGGTACCATGGCCGTCTGCAAGGGCGCGGGCTCTTGGGCTGGGCTTACGAGACTGTTTTTGTTGTTGCTCTGTGGCTGAGACAAGAAAACAGATGGTTTAGTTCCTCGGGTGTCACCAAAGCCATGTAGGTTTGACTCCCAGACCTCCCTTGCCCCCTGGCCCGGCCCTGAGGTGGCCTTTGTGACACTGTATGGACGGGAGCAATGGCTGGAGACATACCAGAATACGGGAGTGTTGGAAAGGGCCCAGAGAACAGCCCAAAGACTTATCTTCGAAGATTTCTCCAAAAGTCTCAGCTTAGGTCAGGCATTGTATCACCACACAACCACACCTGACCCAAAGAAACCCAGGAGCTTCTCCCCATTTCATAAGGGGAGTGGATGGTGGTTTGAAAGAAAGCAGAACAAAATTCAAAAAACTCCGGTCCCCTATCTCAGGGAAGTCTCCTGATGCCCTTCTACCCACAACTTTTATTTCCTTCACTTTAAAACATCAGTTTGAAGACTGACCTGAAAAGGAAAGGAAGGAGAAGTGAAAGAATGCCAGGCCTAGGAGATGGTGTCCAGACAGGAAAGGGTGGACCTCCACTCTGAATGCAAAATGCACCCATGGACCCTCCGGTGCAGAGATAGGGCTGTGCTGGGAAATCTTAAACTTGATCAGCTGCAAGAGGGCGCAGCTCCAAGGAAGCACAGGTGAGTCTGGGCGGAGACTCAGGCTGCCATCCCAAGCCCCACCTCCAGGAGGCAGCAGGCCCCTGCCCATGGGGCTGAAGCTCCCATAGTAACACAACCACCAGGGAAATCGCCTTGCCTTGCAGAATGTTACAGATCGCCCCAGGAAGTGAGGGGCGGGAGATGGTGAGGAAGGAGAGAAGCCAAACTCCAGGGCACAGAGCCATACTGATGCTCTCTGCCTTTTCCGATGCCCTAAGCAGCACATTCAGTCTCCCTGGGAACCCCAGTGGAGTAGCCTGATGTGAGCCCAAGGAGGGCGTGGTTATGCTTATAGCCTGCATCTTCTCTCCTGAGACACACTTGGCAGCACCCAAGTGCTGTGTGCTGTATTTTACCTGGAGGCCTCTTGCAGCACACCTGAAATCACTCCCAATTTGCTGTCAATGACTGAACCATTCCTGCGACCCAAGGACACTCACGCCAGGCCACAAGTGTTACGAGACTTCACTGAACTCTACAGGCTGGAGGAGAGACGTCCCCGAAGGAGACAGGATGTGGCTCTAAAGCCACCAGCACTGCTCTCGTCCGTGCCCACCAGCCAGGCACACAGACATCCCAAACTGGGCTGCCAACACTGACCTCCCGCTTGCAGCTGGCTTCTCCAGGCTACTCTGTCAGTAAGCCCGCTGAGACCCAACCTTTGCCAAGGACAGGCCCAGGGTGTCTGTAAAACCTGCCCTGGCTGCGGAGGGCTAGGATGTTGCCCCTGTGGTCCAATCTCAGGTTTTAATGGATGATTGTACAAGAGTGCACACTGCTGGGTTCCCCTTGGTGGCCTGTGTCCCATGAGAGCCAAGATGTACTTGCTCATCTCTCAGCTGTTCCCCCTGAGGGCTTGGGTGAGCCAGAGGAAGCACTGGCTATGGCCACATCATAGGACTCATACTGGGGAAAACCTAGGCCAGCGAGGCACAGAGCCTGCCAACCAATTCCTTGGTGCACAGGGCCTCTCCACCCGAGGGTGAGGTTTCTCCCTGTGTGTGCCACTGGTCCCGTGGCCCTACAAGCTTCACTTATTGCCCTGGGCTGCTGTGGGCACAGCAGGGCCTCCACACCACACTTTCCAATGCCCACTTTTGTAGGCCGTTGGGTGACCTTGGGCAATGGCCCCCGCCTGGCAGGACAGGCCACACCTGCCCACACAGCACAAACATGCAGTGAGGATGAGAGAAGCACACGCACATGGCAGAATGAGTTTGCGTGGCTGGCAGGCGGGCACAGGCAGCATGGAGTGGGTGGATGGGTGGGCAGGCAAGGCTCACCATTAGGTGCACGCTGGAACTCGACTTCCTTTTCTGGACACACCACAGCAAAAGGGAAAGAAAAGGGGAAAGAGGAGGTAAGAAGAGAAGCACAGAGACACTTGCAGGTTAGTGCACCAGCGTGGGCTCTGCATTAAGGAGAGAAAAGAGTGGGAAAAAAGGAGACCTAGAGTATAGCACTATAGGGTTAAAACAGCGTGTGCGCGCGCATGTGTGTATCTATGTGTGCGGTGTACAAACGGGCAGGCACACCCCCCTCCACACCATGGAGAGCTTTCGGGTCAGGTTCATAGGCATGGACTAGTTCACTCCAGCGAGATGCTTGAGCCTTGCCCTGAGAAAGCTTCTTAAGGAGACAAGGTCCTCAGCCTATAAAGGTGAGGAGCATTTTGCTGCACATGTACAGATTTGGGCTCACGCCCCTAGCTCGCCTAGATGGCTGTATAGCTTCTCTCCTGCCAGAATCCTGGGTGAGGTAAGAGCTTGCACAGGCCATCCTCCCAGATACATGGGATTGCTAAACTTTGACGTTGATGTACCCTTAAACTGCTCTTCAGAAATGGTGTCACGCTTCTGAAAATCATGTAGCAGCTCTGTCAGCTGCCTCTCCTCCATCAGTACAGCCACCGTTGAACAGATTCACGTGTTTCCTTGTGTTCAGCAATGAGTGGGAAATGAAAAAACAGATAACATCAGAGGTGAAAGGGGCCATGATCACAAGATGCAGAGACTGGAGGCTCTGGGACAGGCGGAAAGCAGCGATCGCTGAGCTCAACCGGAGGCTCAGACTTGCTATGCTGACGGGAAACAACAGCATCGACATATAGACCCTGTGGAACACTACAAATACAAATCCCAAGACTGTCTAAAAGCTGAAGGGAAGTTGTGAATTTCCCAGCTGGCTCCCTTGGGATATGTGAGCCTGCTGTCTGACATTTGCACATTCAATTAACAATGTCCAACAAACCCTGGCTGACTGCTGCTGCAGGCATGGTAACCACATACTCTCAGTCACTTCTGCCCTCGAAGGGGTTGAGGTTTTCACTCGAGAAGAAATGTGGAGGAAACACATCATCCAGAGGAGTGGGTCACACATAATTAAAGAGGAGTCCACAACTGAGAATCTGGCCTCCGAAGAAACAAAAACCTGCACAGGATCAGGCCTCCGTGACTGTGAAATGTGCTGAAACGTTAAACTGCTCCTTCCAGAATGATTCAACAAGAGCGAGCTGCCCAAGACTTACAGCTATGCCAGAGCTGAGGGTAAAGGAAGGCCCACACCTTACAGGCACGTCTGTGCTCTCCATGGGACTTAGCAAAATGCCTCACAGTTAACATTAGATTAACAAACGTTTGCTGAGTTGAACTGCATTTGATGACTGGCTCTTCCCCTGGCTGAAGCAGAGTGCCGGTACCTAATGCTTGTTTTTGATCTGCAGGGGCCTCAGTCTGTTACTTGTACCTGCACCCTGCCTTATAGCAGAACATACTACACTACATCCCAAGCCTCTCCAGCTGGCTCTCTTCTGAACTGTTCCACGTGAGAGCCTGGGTCCACCCTTTTCCACTTGAGGCTGTTTTGCATATTAGTGAACATGTGTCTGAGTCTCTCTCCACCTTTCCAGACAGGACTTTCTCATCTAGCACCTGGCAGCATCATCAAGCGCCACATGAGGCCATTTCACTTTTATTTCTAAATTATATATGTATTTAAAATTGTACACCGGGAAAGTGTTCAAGTCTCTTATCCATTCTTAATTTCAACAAACCGATATCCACACAGAAAATAAATGAGCTAACCATCGCCTTTCCGTTCCCCTTTCTCCTCTCTTGGTTTCTTAAAGACTAAATGGACATTGTGGCCTGGAACTAACAGAATGCACAAGCTGTCCTAGCATTCGTTGCCCCTTTCAAGTTCTCACAAGTGACTCACTTTTTCATAGACATCGGGTGCTCACCTTCAGAGGCGCCTCCACAGAACAGAAGACAGCAGATTTAAGATCACAGACAGCTGCTGAAACCAATGCTAGTAACTTGCACACCCCACAGAAAGCTTTTAAACAGCGAGAAAGAAACCACCCCGTGGACACGGAAACAGCAGGAGGAGCTGGGGGAGATGGGGAGTCTAAAAGAATCCAGAAGGCTGAAGAATCGGGACCCTCTGAGTAGCTCCGCAGGCCTCCCTCCTACCAGGGCACCACCACTTTGGCTTCCCAGAGCCCCAAAGGGTCCAAATCCACACACCTTGCTCTCTCCCTTTTTTTTTGGATCAGCCCTTTCATATAGCCATATGATTCACTGTTACTACAAAAGGCTGGCAGCAACATTACAAGCAAACAGAGGAGAGGGAGAAGGATAACCACACGTCTACCACTCCTTCAGTCTCCTTTCTTAAGCACTTAAAAAAAATCATTACACATAAATGCATGCCTTCCTTTAAAAATAAACAGTATTTTGATTCATATTTTGACTAACAGAGTAGTGAATGGTTTACATGTAGAGAATCAAAAAAAGATATTAAAAGAAACCAAAAGATTCCCAAATTTCCATCACTCAGTGAAGTTACTAAAATTTCAGTGGGTTTATTTTCCAATTCTTTTTCTGTCCACCTATTGACTGAATAAATATCTACAAACATCCTTTCTGAACACAAATTCGATGACAGTCTACGTTTTCCTTCATCTCCCACTTTCCTCACATAATACAAACTGCTGTCTTAAAGATTAATAACTCTAATGGTGTACTAAATGGATTCCTATAATCATGCAGTCATTTCCGCTCCGGCTTTTGTGATTGTCTGCAATCTTTTCATGGCTGTACACAGTGCCAGGCGGGACATCTTTCTGCTTTCAGCATTTCTCTATTTTGTAACTGTGAGCCCACAGGTTGTTTCACAAAGCACTATTCTGGTTCTCACCACTATCATTTACCCCCAGAGACCCAAAGCGCAACGTTACTTCAACCAGCGTTTCTCTGATACCAGGGAAGCTAAACACTTTGCCACATGTTATCCAGTTCTACTTTTTATTTTAAGATGGCCAACACATCTTTTTTGACCATGTTTCTGCAGGTTTTTCTTTTTCTTTTTTGAGGGGGGGAAATTCTCATTTGTTAGGGAAACTGAATAAAAACACTACCAACCCTTTCTATAAACATTGCCCAGCCAATCTGTGAGTATACTTTCAGTTTTGCTTGGTCATTCTATTTTTAACATTTTTATTTAGTTTTTTAATTTGGGAAGAAGACACACAGAGAGAAAGAAAGAATCTCCCATTTGCCGGTTTACTCCCCAAATACCCTCAAGAACCATGGCTAGGTCAGTGTGAAGTCAGGAACCAAAAACAGTAATCCAAGCCTCCCAGTTTGGGGGTAGGAACCCAGCTCCTTGAGTCATGGCCTGTGGCCTCCCAGGGTATGCATCAGCAGGAAACTGGAATCAGGAGTGAGGCCAGGACTCTAACCCCAGCAGCCAGCTGCTATGTGAAACACTGGCATCGTGGCCTCTGACCCATCATTTCTTAACAAGGTTCCAAGAAAGAACACAGCATAAAACTCACTGAGCACATTTACCAGGCTCTGAGCCAGACCATGCAGAGGGCACGCTCTCCAAACATTCTCATGGAAAGCAGTTTCCCCAGCAGTTCAGTCTGCCAGCCCTTCCTCAGCCTTCCTTTGGTGTCTGACTTTGATGTACACCTCCGCACTTTCCCGACCTCCCTTCTTTCTCTAGTTCCTTCACTGAATCCTCTTATAGCCCTGATAAACAGATAGCTCTGAAAAAAATGTCCTCTGTCAAATTCTAAAAACTCCATGTGCATTGAGGGGATGAAAATATTAGAATTCAAAGATTGAACTTCCCACCCCAGGCCTGACTCTCTGCTCTCTCTGCACCTGCTCTGTGTACATCCGCTCCTTAACAGACTGCACTGAAAAAGCAGCAAACGCCATCGGCCTGCCAGCTCACAGGGGACAATAGGCATCCCACAGACCAAGGAAGTGCGCTCAAGGGACTCACTTATGTGAGTCCCAAATCCACACATCCAGTGCTGCTAGCCACTTCCCTGGGCAGCACCAGGTACGTGCCAGGGCCAGTAGACACCTCTGCTCATATGCTCCATCTTCCTTAAACTCTTTCCACTACACAGGCATTTCCCCACCTACTCCCAATTTTAGCAGAGTTAGCACCAATTTGTCCAGCATTCAAGGATAGAAACACTGATGCTGTCTATTGGATCCTTCTGGAATCCCCCACATCCAGTGTGAAGTTCCTCTTACATGTCTCTTGTTGGAGCTGGTAGTCCCAGCATCACAGGTGCAGCTAGTCTACTTTTGGTGGGCTGCTGGTGCATGACTGCTGGTGAAGTCTACTTATTTATCCAGTTAATTTCAGTCCCCCAAACGCCTGCAACAACTGGGGCAAGGCAAGGGAGAAGCTGGCAGCCTAGAACTCAATCCAGGTCTGCCACATGGATAGCAGAAACTCAATTACTTGAGCCAGCACCAGCTGCCTCCCAGGTGCACATCAGCAGCAAGCTACAGTCAGAAGCAGAGGCAGACCTTGAATCCAGATACCTCATGGTGTCTTAATGGCAATGCCAATGCCAAGCACTTACCCCTGGTGAGTTTTAAAATGTTTTACTTATCTCTGCTTCTAATCGTCTTTGCTTCACCCACCCACCCCTGGATTCTGGCAGAATCTACTCTAGCCTCATTGACAGCTCCATGTCTAGCTCCTCTCCAGTTCCACTCGGCCTCACGTCCTCACCTCCGTCTCTCCTATCACGGCTCTTATCACAGCTTCCTCTCCCGAGAGCCTTGGTGTTTCTCATGGTCTAACACATGAACCTTCAGTTCTACCGAATCACGCTGATCTGGTTCACGTGATAGACACGCGCCCTATAGTCCACTTGGGCAGAAAACATCAGTAGGTAGGACAGAACCCATACATGCTATCTCTATTGGTTCTTTTTGGAATCCCCTACACCCAGTGTGAACCTGGATGACACCTGTGCCTTTTTCTAACTTGGCCGCATCCATCTAGCTCCTGCTCAGAATCAGGTGATGTGTGGCAGAAGAGGGGTGGAGGACTGCCCGGACACACCAGCACCATGTCAGTAGGTATGTGCAGCCCCAGTTCCCTCCTCTGGGGCAGAAAGCCACAGAAGCGGGTACACAGAGAATGTGGGAAAGCAAAAGTCGGGGGAAGAGTTGGGGGATGGGTACATGCGTGTAAGTCGGCTGTGGATGCAAGATCTCTAAAGAAGGCTCCATTTAAACTTTACTGGAGGATTTGCAATTCTCTACTGTGAGAGCTGGTAGGTTTCCACTTAGCATGAATTCCTATGCAGTGCCCAAGCTCCACACCTATAGCACACCTCAGCCCTGTGGGTCCCGCAGCTGCCTTCTCTAACCAGTGGCTAACCACCCCCCCACAAGGCTTCCTGTTGATCCCTGCAGGCCCTAGCCCCACAGAAAAAGTGAGCCTAAGACATGCTCTGCACCTGCTCTGGAGGAGTCTAGGCCTTGAGGAGGCTTCAGATACTTTCACTCTATCTGAGCTGGGTTCTGGTTTCTTTAAAGGTAAGGAAAAGACCAACAGGGTAGTGGCTTTAGTTCCATGTCTGGCACCCTACCTCCATCACTGGGGCAAACTTAGCTGGCATTTGCTTAAAAGTGATTTTGTAACTGGAAAAAAAAAATAACCTAAGGACCACCAAAAAAAAAAAAAAAAAAAAAAAAAGCCAGAGTCAAGCTGTGGCAGCATGGCCACGCAGAAATCAAGCGCGGGACAGGGCCCTGGTGGGCTGTATTTGGATTACCGACCCCAAGTGGTTCCCACCATGGCAGGCTCACAAACAACTCTCCCCGCTTCCTTCTCAGGCCAGTGGAACCTGCTATTCTGACCACAGAGGCTTCCGGTTTCAAGCAAAAGAGCAAGGACAGAAAGTACTCGGGGAAGAGGAGAACATGGAGCCAAGAATTCCCCTAGAGTGGCAGCTGGTGGGCAGGGAGGGTGGGCAGTGCCAGTCAGACGAATGTGACACCTACCTTGACACCGCCATCCGACTTCTTGTTTAACAGACTTTTGGCAGCTGTGAAAATAAAGAGGAAAATCATGTCTCCTGCACTGCACCCTCTCCCCAAGCTCAAATCCGGCAGTTAGATCCGTAGGAGAATGTTGGTCTGATCAGGTGGCTGTGGCTCCAGAGAAATCCTGAAGGAGGGTCCTTCCAGGCAGTCCCTTGGCCAGAAGGTCGGTCACAGTGGCTTCCCCCAGGTCTCCGTGCCCCGGGAAGCAGGCTTAGTGGAAACAAGACACTTAGTCCTGGAGCTGCCTGGGGCACTGGGAGCTATACTTTTCTGGCTCTCGGCCCGGCCTGGGAGCAGGGTCCTGGGAGGAAAGGGGGTCAGCTCCATCCCTAGTCAGCTTGGAGGGTCTCTGGAAGGAGGCAAGCCATCTCCTGAGTGTTGCCAGAAACAGTTTCACAGTTCACAAAGGAGACCAGACGTGAGGATGCACAGACACAGACAGAAACCAGGACCACCTACAGGAGGGTTCTGCCAGGGGGTTGAAGCCTTCACTGGGCAGGGCCTCACCAGGTTCCCTTGGTCCTAGCCACCACCCTTCTCCTAGAATTGTCCCTATGCATTAATGAACAGTAAAGGCTGGGTGGGATAATCCACCATCAAGGACATTTTAGCCAGGCCGAGGGTGGGGTGGGGTAACTCAAGGCAAGCGACACTGGCTGGCCACCAGGGCAACAGGAAGGCAGTGAACAGTGAGACAGTCTGGAAGGCAGAGAGAGATGGGCTCAGCCCAGCGGTCTGATTCACCCACACTACCTTGGGTTTATAGCTTCGTTCCACCATTAGCTCAGCTGTGTGATGTTGAGTGAGTGATACGACTTACAAGTCTTCATGATATTGGACAAAACAGGTCCTGGGTCATAGGACAGTGCTGGAGATCCAAGGGGATCACAACTGCCAAGTTCCAACTGAGCACAGGGCTTGAGACACAGCAGTCCTCCAGGTTGTCACCACTGCATCTCTCTTCTGCTCTCCAGGGGCCATTCCTACCAAAGTCACGTCCCATCTCTCTCCAGTGAGAAAAGGGGTCCTTTTCTCACAGGGTGCTGGCTCCAGAATGTGGTCCTGGGGTCCCAGCTCCAATCCCACTGGATTTTCAAGTACTTTTTAAATGCACTTATTATTATGCCAGAGCACCTTCCCATACATCTATCAGTTCATAACTCTGCTCATTAAATCCCTCCAGGAGCTGAAGAATGCTCAACACATACCCTAGGAATTCTGATTTGTCTGGGTTGGGGTCCCAGGAATAGATTATTATTATTATTATTATCATCCTTATTTTTATTTAAAGAAGCTCCCTGGTAATTGGTTGTCCTGCATAGGCAGGGCTCAGAGCCTTCCACATACATAATCTTAAGCATCACCTTTTTTTGTTTTTAAATCTCCATAGGGGAGCTGAGCTGAGCTGCTGTGACTTGCTCAGGGTGTGGCAAGACTAGAATCACCGGGACTCTTTTAGCTTCTGTACACCCCAACTGGTCAGAGCAGAAGGCCAGCAGACGCCCTACCTAGGACACTTGGAGGGGTGTGGCTTCCCCTGTTGGAGGTCTTGAACAGCAACTGCAGAAGTCTAGTCCCCGCCCTTTGGGGCAGGTTGGTGCCACGCCCAGGGCAGCAGGTCAAGTGCAGCACCCCCTCCACATAGGTCAGGCCCTTGGGCCCAGGAGAGGAAAGGCTCCTGCAGCCCGGCTCCATGTCCCCAGGCTTCTGCCTCCCGAGACCTGACAAGCGCCCAGCATGCACGGCTGGTTAGGGAGCTCCAAAACACCAATGCGCTCGCAGATGCCGAAGTTAGGTGGTCCTTCTGGCATGCCCATCTCAGCCCGCAAGCATGGGACTCGTCTCCCTGGTGAGCGGGGCCTGGCATGCTGGCCCTCCAGTGGGGGAGGCAGGGAGCCGAGGCAGGCGGTCGGTCAGGGAGGACTCATGCCACGTACCTTGCCCGGCCAGGCCGGCGGCGCTCGCGGCAGGCGAGGCGGGGGCGGAGCTCTGCCTGCCAACTGAGGGGATACAGTCTCTCAGTGCACAGCGCTGCCGCAAAGCCACTGGGGCGTCAGCAGCCAGCATGCCCCAGCGCGAGGCGGGAACCTGCTGGCTGCCCACGCGCAGCAGGGCCCAGGCGGCGTGGCCAAGCCAGCCGAGCCGGGGTGGCAGGGAGCGGAGGCACCGGGCGGGATGGAGGTGGAGGAGACGGGTGGGCAGGCTGATGAGGCAGGCATGGCCGGCCCTGCAGCACTCTGAGGGCCTGAGAGGACTGGGCTGGGCTTGAGGGGGGTTGGAGGTGGGGGATGGGGATTACCAGGGGCAGCACTTGATGGGTGTTGCCTGGCTACTTCTGGGTGAGGGACTGAAAATAAAAACTTAACAGGCTCTGGTACCATTTCTGAAGTAACAGGGCCAGCTGTAGGCTGTGCAGAGCCTGGGCATCACCTTGAGACGTCCTCTCACCAGGATCGATCACCCTGTGCCCCTTGCAGAGCACCCAGCAGCCCTTTCCCCCTCAGGGCTCCCCACAGCAGAGGGACTGGCGCTGGGGGGTGGGGCAGGAAGGGTCCATGGTTTTTCTTTCCACCAGACCACACCTCTTCAGAGACATAAGCCCTCTTCCTTCTTAAGGAAGGTGGCCAAGAGTTGCACCTTTCCCAGTCCATGTTTCACAGGCTGCTGGGGGTCAAGATATGCCCCAAACATGAGTGCCCGGAAGTTTAACAATGTGGTTACACATGGAGCCTCAGGGGAAAAATCCTGGCTTGTTCCTAAGGAGACACATGGGTGCTCTGGCTTCTTTCAGCAGAAGTTTTGAGACTCCACCCTCACCTGTCTTGGAGACAGGGCACAAGAGGCTATTCCATTTAGACCACTGGGATCTCGGGGGGTATGGGGAGGGGGCTCCCCTCTGATCTGTGCAAAGGCAGCTCACAGGTCACACGAGGCGTGAGCAACAAAGCCAGGAAGCTCTTCAGGGAGGGATTAAAGTGCTTTTTCCTAAGGGGATAGCCCAAGTTCCTGAAACCAGGATGCCAGGTTCCCAAAAGGAGGGAGAGATGAGTGTGCAGCCCCAAGGCCTTGCCAAAACTCAGAGAGGAGAGGGGAGACCCCCCACTCCAGGGGCTGCACGCAAAGGCCCTTAAGGCGGCTCTTAGACCCAGCAGGTGGAAGCTGCATGGAACCTAAGGGCAAGAACCACGGGCTAAGACCACAATTCCCCCTCTGCTAGAGGTGGCTAGGCCATATCTTCCTGTTTGCAACCCTAGGAGGAGAAGCCAGAACCGCCATCTTCCCCTTATGGGTTCCCAAACCGCCAGAACAAGCCCAGCTCAGGGTAAGGAGGTTGGCTTGAGAAGGGCTGCTCCCAAGGCTCCCTATCAGATTCCCACATTGCACAGCCCCAGGTCCTCAGACCAAGGCTCCTGAAAAATTGGGCCTTGATGCCTGAGGCCGCCTCAAAGCCCGAGTGTCTGGGGTCCCCAGAGCCAACACAGCCCAAGCCCTTGTGGCTCCAGCACAGGGGGTTAACCTCTGCCCAGCAGTGGTTGCCCAGCCATCCATGGTAGTGCAAAGGAAAAGCAAGGGAAGGAATCTTGTTAAGAGGACGAGAAGGGGTAAGGACTCCTAAACCACAACAGCGAGGCTGGGAGTTAGAGGGAAGGAAGCCTGGGGCACACAGCAAGCCGGGAAGACCCCACTGTCTTGGGTCGAGTCTGGACTTTAACCTTCTATGCATAGAGAAAGTCACTGTACTTCCAAATGAGGGCCAGTGGAGATGGGGGTCTGGATGGGACTGGGGACGGCGAAGTGTCTTGCATCTTCAAAAGAAATGGCAAATGTGATTTACAAATCGCCAGTCTCAGCCCTTTCCACTCCTCACATAAACTTTACGTTCCTGTCCCTTCACTTGCTGGTCTCTCTGTCTTCATTTGCAACAGCTGGTATCACAGAAAGCATTTTAAGTACAAGTTCCCTCAGGAAAGGTTCAACTGTCTAGTCATTTCTTTTAATCATCACCTTGTAGACACACTGGAGAGAGAGATGGTCACAGGTGGCAAAGCAGTGGTGGGTCCTGAGAGGACCTCTTGACTCTCATCTCTCATCCCCCAGAACGGCCTCCAGCACCTGAGGGCAGCTCCCATCCCCCATGTTCTCAGAGCCTGTGGAAGATGCACTAAGAATAAACAAGGACAAGGAAGAGGCTGGGTAGGCTCAGAGCCCAAGTAAAGTTCCTAGTCGCCACCATCTCAGTAACAGGACTCGGTGGTGGCAGCCCCTCAGAATGGAGTCCTTGGTCGGCCAGTCCTCCAGGTTATGATGCTGCCTGCAACACCCAGCGTCGTGTGGGACAACAGTGTCCTGTCCTTGACCCACTCACCTCGGCAGCACTAGCGTGTGCGGCTAAAAACACATACCTGAGAAGTTCCTGGAGACAAGCATAGTTGTGAGGATGGCACCCTGAGGAGAGAGAAGGGTCTTATGAGTTCACCAAGGACCCAGAGGAGGGGTGCCAGGTCTCAGGCCAAGGCAGCTCCCAGCCACAGCCTGCCAGGTCCAATTGTCTCCCTTCAGCTCCAGCCAGGATAGGAGCTTTGTTCTGTGATGGCTGTAGGGGCCTCCCTGTGAAATGGCACCATCTCGGGGTAGGGAAGGGTCCCGTCACCAGCCTCACCTTCAGTTTCCTCCGGGCATTGAATTTGCGCAAGCACTCCACAGTCTCCTGACGGTGCATCATGGAAGCCACCGTGGATCGTTGCTGGAAGCCAAACAGACAAGCCCATGAGACCGCAGCTTGGAACCCCTGTGACCCTGCAACACGGTCCCAGCACTGATGGCCAAGACTGGGCTTGTGACACACAGCCATCCGAGCTGCTCGGAGGATAAAATGAGGTCACAGATGTGCAAATGTTCTTAAAACAAAAGCATTACCCAAACTCAAGATTATGTAAGGACATTCTGAACATGAAAACACCACTGATAATTGATGGCAGATGAAGGTGCCAAGAGAGGACGCTCATCTTTCTTGGGAAGCAAAAGCTGCAGAATGGAGCCAATGTCCTGTGTGCAGAGATCCTCACTCGGTTATGCCTGTAGGAGCGTTTCCTGAGTACCTGCTATGTTCTGGACTCCAAACAGACAGCACACAGGTAGGGGTCCTGTTCTCGACAGAAAAGGCTCATTGTTTCTTGGGTCCCCCTCAGCATTGCCCCACTGGATCCTGAATGCAGCTGTGGTCTAAGATGCTGAAGATCTTTACCTGGAAACCTCAATGCTTTTCTTCCTTCTGGATGAAAATGTTTCTTCAATGTGCATGTGCTAAACTTCCTGGCCTCCTAACTTCCTGGCCTCCTCCTGCATTTCCTTGATGCCTCAGGGTCACCAAGACAAGCATCAGTTATCACCTAAGGTTATAATACAGTAAGGTCCTCAGCGGCTATAGAAACATACCAACCTGCAGAGCATGGGGTCGCAGTTGTGGACATAGAACAGAACATGCTCCCCATGCTGGAGTGCCTGCTCTACACTGCTCAGTCCCATCCCTTTGCAGTTGCAGTTATGACCAGCCTGTTCAAAAATATACGCCGGGACCACCAAACCCTTCCCCGCACCACTGGTCACTGCTCTTCTGGCTCTCTCTACCTTTCCCATCTTGCAGTCTCTCATTGTATCTCCTCAGCATCAACAGCTCTACAAGGACAAATGATAGCCTGTCCAGCAAGAACTCCTCCAATTTAGCTTCCCACCTACACACAGATCTTCACTTGCTTCCCACTTCACCCAAGTCTCTGAAGCAACTGCTTTGTGTGCCCAACACAGACCCCTTGAGCTGGGTGCGGGAGCCCCTTGTCTTTTTGCTCTCAGAACTCTGCTTCTTCCCTCTGGATGAGGTTTCCCTCTGTAGTCTGTACCTGACATTTAACCTTCTGCTTGTATTTTTTTTTTTTAAGGCAATCTACTTTTTCCCTTTGGCTGCCTGGCTTCCCGGGCCCTCCTCTCCACCCTGTAGGCAGCTCAGAGTGCCTTTAGTGACACCCCGGGTCCCCTTCCTGGCCTTCTCAGACTTCGCTTTTGGCCTCTGGGCACCGACTCTCCCTGTTGCTTCAGAGCTCTTGAATCTTCTGCAGCAGTTCCTCCTCCCGTGATGCTGGTTCGCATCCTTAGTTCCCTTGGCTGGCTGCTCTAACTCATCCTGCCATTCACACTGGTACTTAGTGGTCCTCTCTTGTAGGGAAATCAACAGAAGCTCACGGTTAGAATGCAGTCAGCATTGCAAGTGTCACATCCGTCATGACAGTCTCATCATTGGCACAAAAATGACCAGGTTCTTCACCTTTGACCCTTTACCTCTAACTTTCACAGCCAGGCTTCCACCCATCCACCGACACCCCCAGCTGGAGGTCCCCCAAACACCAGGTGTCCACCACAGGCATCAAATTCAAACCATCATTTCTCCAGACGTGCTTGGGGCTTCCTAGTCTCAGTGCACTTGTGGTTCAATTCTGGCTGATCCTACTCAATTACCCAAACCTGTCAGTCTCCAAAGAGTTGTCGCTCTTCCCCCTTTCCCCCTAGACCCAAATGTCCACTAAAATCCTTTGGGTTCTGTCTCCCAAGTAGCTCTCAAAAGTGTCTGCTCCCCACCACACTGTCCACTCGCCTGGCTTGCCCTCAGTGGAGACCTCATCTGGTCTTGTTTAGACAAAGGCAACAGCTTCCTGAGTGCTCTGCCTCCAGTCCCTCCTCTTCAATTCCATTTTCTACACAGCGTCCAAAGTGATCTTTCTTAAAGTGCAAATTTCATTCCCTCTTGAGAACCCTTAAATGGTTCCCTGTGCTTTCAGAATCAAATCCAAATCCCCAGGGAGAAAACTTGCATGTCACGGAATCTTCTTAGTCGTATTTTCTTGTATTCCTATAGTCCTCTACACTCAAACCACTTAACATTCCTTAAACTTGCCATAATTTCCCACGGTCTCTCACCCTAGCCCACGGTAGCCTCTGCCTGCATCTTAGGAGAACTCGTAGTCATCTTCCTGGAATGAGGACAAAGGTCACTCCCTTCATGCAGCCTTCCGTATCTTCATCATCCACCAGGGACAGCAGGAACTCTTGAACTATGGTTAGATTCTTTGCCATACTTGTCATGATACAGCAACGGCTGCCTCTTTGAGTACCTCTCTCCCTAGATCTGCTCTGAGTCCTCTGGGGGCAGGGACAATGCCTTATTTGTCATTTTTTTTCCTAGCACCTGCACCACGACCTGCACCAAGGTAGCATGCACCACGCACAGCAAAGCACCCTGAATCCATGCATGGTGGCTGCCAGGTGCCCTGAGTGTGCTAGATGTTTCTGTTTGTTGGAAGGCAGCTATTTCAGCTTGGCAGGACTAGGCACAGAAAACAGTTTATCAGGGCCCATCTACAGCCTGGCAGGGGGATGTGGGCCCTCCTAGGGATTCAGCACGGCTGCTGTACCACACTCTTTCCAACTGCTTCGAGGCCCCTCGGTCTTAGTGACAGCTCTTACAGAGCTGTGTGAAGTGCTGGGCTTGGAGTGTGCCCTGAGCTTAGCATCTGCTTTGGACTGTTCACTGCTTTCCTTCATCAACCACCTGGAATCTGCAATGGTCAGACTGAGCTGTTGAGTGGAACCAAATTATAGCCCGACAGCAGCCAGTGGGCAAGAAATGGGTGAAGATCCACTAGCTCCCCTGCGTTCCTCCTCTCATGCCATACAAACTCTGGGCTCTGCTCAAGAGTCCCCCAAACTGGATCCCCCCTTGGGGTTTGGCTTGAGTCTCCACTGGCAAAAAGGAGGGCAGGGAGTAGGTACCTGAGGCATAGGAAGGGCTGACCCCACGGAGCTCCTGGGCCCCAAGGGAAGACACTTACACAGACCCATGGGTGCTTGAGAGCCTGGTCGGCCGTGATACGCTTCGCCGGGTTTATGGTCAGCATCTGGTTGATCAAGTTCTTGGCTTCCGGAGTCACCGTGTCCCATTCTGGCGATGGGAACTAGGAAGCAGGAACAGGGAGAGGAGTGGTTAGAAATGAATGAGCCTCATACCCCAAAATATAGACTGTGTCGCTGTCCCAGAGATTACAGTGGATATTGTCTGTGGTACCCAAAGCTGCTGGGCAGAGGGGTGGAGAAGCCCCAAGAGCACCGCCCCCCAACCTGTGTGGGCTTAAAGACCGGGCAAGCAAAACAGAACAATCACAGTGAGCATGCTAGCGCAACGGAGTGGAGCAGGAAGGGGCCTCTGACGTCGCCTGCTCCAACTCCGTCTCTACTTAGGAGGAAAGAGGTGTTCAATGACGTGCCCAAGTACCACTGTGGAGGGGGATCATGGGTGCCAACTCCCTGGATTCCACCCCACATGGCCTCTTCAGCCTTTGCAAATAAAGATCAAAGGGCTTTAGGCGGCTTCTTAATCTCATAGCTACCAGGAAGGCTGCCCCCCAAAAGTTGAGTTGCTCCCTGTGAAATGGGGGTGGCAGGAATTGAGCCCTGTATGCCCATCCCTGGGTCCTCAAAGACCCCTGACAGCCCCTGTATGATGTGACACGCTAACAACCCCCTTCCCCAGACAGAGCTCGAGGGGCAGAAATCTGCCCTTCCCGGCTCTGTTGGTTCAGCTCTCCAGCAACCTGGTGCTTACATCATAGGCTCCAGCCTTGATCTGCTGATACAACTTGTGCTGATCCTCATCCCAGAAGGGAGGGTATCCCACCAGGAGGATATACAGGATGACCCCTGCGAGACAGAACACACAGGTCACTGGGGTCAGTCACTTACTTCCCTGAGGAACCAAGAAAAGCCATGCAGGGCTCAGAGCCACCTGGGAAGGCAAGGGCCATCGCAGGCTTGGGAGTGGGTGGCCAGCTACTAATGCTGTGCCACCAGCGCCTCCTGCTATGCCTTACTCCTCACCACCACCAAGTCACACCAGGGACTTCTGTAGGTACAACCCATCCTCTAATCCCTCTCCCAGAAGCAGAGGAGGATATAATCCAGGAAGGATGGGGGGAGGAGGTTGTGTGTGACGGAAGAGCCATCCCCCAGGAGACCAGGAAACACTATGAGCTCACACACAGCGGACTCCATGGCACGGGAGTGTGCTGCCTGCTCTCTCGCCATTGCTGGAAGGTGAAGGTCCTACACATGAGACGAGCTGAGGATAATGGAGGGGGCTTACCACAGGCCCAGATGTCCACAGGTTTTCCATAAGGATCTTTCCTCAAGACCTCAGGAGACAAATAACCTGGCGTGCCAGCAAAACCTGTAGCAGGAAAGATGACAGAGGCACAGTGAATCCACTGTCCTTCTCGGTAAATCCCCATCAGCAATTCCCCACAAGTCCCTTCTCAGTTCTGCTGTTTTTGCTATGTAAGCTTCTCTCACAGGAGCTGTGAGAAACGGCAGGCTGGGCTTCTTACAGTGCCTGGAATGTAAGCCAGAGGGCAAGCCCACATGCCTACCAGGAACTCCTCTCACTCCTCCCCAGAGCTCACAAGAACACGGTGCTGACAACAGCTGGACTCGCTGTACTGAGTCACGCAGGGCCAGGCGCAGGCTCTGTGCCCTCCCACCCTCCAGTCTCCAAGGAGGCCAAGACCATTTAGGGTCTGGCTCCTGGTTCTGAAAGAGGAAGGCAGATCAGGAAGAGCAGGAAGGGCGGGGGTTGCATTCCGGGAAGACAGGGTCACCCTTACCAAACCAAGCCTGCTGTTCTCCCTGCACTTCGATGGCGAGGCCAAAGTCGGCCAGCTTGACGGCGGCACCCTTGCATTTGCTCGCCAGCAGCAAGTTTTCAGGCTGCAGAAAGAAAAGAGAACCTTGAGAGGTAACCCACTCTGTAGCTCAGAGAGCGCTTCATTTTTGGGAGCCAACACAGTACCACGATCTGGCACCAGGTGGCGCCACCATATCACAAGCAGGAGGCAAGGTTGGGGGGGTGCAGGCAGTGTGGGAAGCCTGCATAGTACCTTCAGGTCCCTGTGTACAATGTCATGCTGGTGAATGTGGTTAACACTCTCCAGAATCTGGTGAATACAGTGGCTAAAAAAGCAGAAGGAAAAGAAATGTCAGTGCATAGTTATCAAACCACCTCATCCACAACTACATGCTGCAGACGAAAGGCATGGGGAAGAGGGGGGTCATGGGTTCACTGGGAAATACTGAATGAAGAGCTAGGACCCTGGACCTCATTTAGTTTAACACACCTTGAAAATCGGTTCTATTTCATTTTACAAAATTATTATTTGGAAAGCAGAGAGACACAGAGAGGAGGGAGGAAGAGACAGATCCAGTGTGTACTAAATCACTCTCTAAATGTTTACAACTGAACCAGGCTGAAGCCCAGAGCCTGGGACTCCATCTGGGTCTCCCACTGAGGTGGCAGGGGCCCAGCTACTTGATCCACTGCCACGGCTCCCAGAGTCTCATGAACAGGAAGCAGGACTCAGGAGCAGAGCCAAGACTCAGACCCAGGCATGTTGATTTGCGATGTGGGTGTCCTAATTAGTGTCCTAGGTACTAAGCCAAACACCCGTCCTGCTCATTTCTTTGTTTTCCTATGAAAATAACTACCTGTATTTACGGGGTAGCATGTAAAGTTTCAATACATACATATATTGTGGTAATTCAAAAAGGCTATTTTGCACATCCATTGCTCATTTTGGTGAAACCCTTTAAAACACTTAATTTTTCTTACTTTGAAATCTATATCACTTTTTACCGTTGAAGGACTGTGCAAAGGAACACCAGAACTCCTTCCTCACACCTAATCATACCTTTGTACCCCATGGCCAAGTCTCCCCAGCCCCCGGAGCCCGTCTCTACTCTGCCTTCCACTTCTACGTGGTCATCTCTGTCAGATTCCACACAGGAATGAGATCAAAGGGCGTATTTCTGTTCTTGGCTCATGTCACTTAACATGATGTTCTCCAGGTTTATCCACGTTGCCACAAATAACAGAATTTCCCTGTCTTTTTGAGGTTGACCAGTATTCCACTGTAATTACAGCACATTTAAAAAACATTTTATTTTTATATTTGTTTTATATTCACAACATTTAGGTTATTTCCATATCTTGGCCATGCAAATAATGATGTAAGTTATGGGAGTGCTAGTATTTCCTCAACTCCCCGATTTTTTCTTTTTAAAGATTTATGTGAAAGGCAGATTTTACAGCGAGAGGATAGAGAAGGTCTTTCATCTGCTGGTTCACTCTCCAAACAACTCAATGGCCAGCAATGAGCTGATCTGACACTGGGAGCCAGGAACTTCCTGTAGGTCTCCCACATGGGTGCAGGGTCCCAAGGCTGTAGGTTTCCCAGACTACAAGCAGGGAGCTGGATGGGAAGTGGAGCAACCAGGACAACAACCAGTGCTCATATGGGATGCTGGTGCTTATGAGAGGAGGGTTAGCCTGTTGAGCCACGGCACTGGCCCCCAGCTCATCTGACAAGTATTTCTGGTGACTCCACATGGAAAAGACAAAGAAACCCAGTCTTTATGTGGTTACTGATTCTGGAATCAGACTGTACACCTTACAGGCCGTTCTGGCAGCTCTGTGGACACACTCCTGGCAGGGACAAAGGGCATCCTGCTGCAGTGATTTTCCAGGGTGTGTATGTGAGAGAGAAGAGAAAGAGAAAAAGGGAGGGAGGGAGGGAGGGAGGGAGACCGAGTCTGCCTCCCAGGGGACAACAGCAATGCCCAGGGTCATTTCCAGTTGTCATGACTGAGAGGTAAGCGGTGCCTAGCACCTAATGAGTACAGGCCATGATGCCTCCCAGTGCCAGCAGTGGAGGTTAATGTTACAGTGGTGCAGGTTCAGCTATTGCCATGACACTAGCATCCCATATCCAAGCGCTGGTCCAAGTCCTGGCTGACATGCTTGGGAAAAAGTGGAAGATGGCCATAAATCCATCCACACAGGAGACCCAGATGGGAGTTCCTGGTTTTTAGCTTCAGCCTGGCCCCACCTGATGTGGACATTTTGGGAGTGAACCAGCAGATGGAAGATCTTTCTGTCTCTCTTCCTTCTTGATTACTCTGCTTTTAAACAAAACGAAAAATGCCTACCATGCACAAGAAGGGTCCTCATATAAGAAACAATTGAGGGGGCCAGTGAATGAGCTGAATGGGCTAATCCTCCACCCTGTGGCACTGGCATTGTATATGGGCACTGGTTCATATCCCAGGTGCTCCACTTCTGATTCAGTTCGCTGCCTATGGCCTGCGAAAGCAGCAAAGGATGGCCTAGCTCCTTGGGACCCTACACCCATGTGGGAGACCCAAGGAAGCTTCCAGCTCCTGGCTTTGGATCAGCTCAGCTCTGGCCATGTAGCTATCTGGGGAGTGAACCAGCAGAAAGAAGACCTTCTCTTTATTTCTCCTTCTCTTTGTAAATTTGCCCTTCAAATAAAATAAGATAATTAAATCTGGTGGGGGAAAAAAAAAGAAAGAAAGAAAAGAGGGCCTTGGTGTGGTAGCCCAGTAGCTGAAGCCTTGCCTTGAATACGCTGGGATCCCACATGAGTGCCATTTTGTATCCTTGCTGCTCCACTTCCCATCCAGCTCCCTGTCCAAGGCCTTGGGACTCTGTACCTGCATGGGAGACCTGGAAGCTCCTGGCTCCTGGCTTTAAATAAGCTCAGCTCTGGCCACTGCAGCCACCTGGGGAGTGAACCAGTGGATGGAAGATCTTTCTCCCCGTCTCTCCTTCTTTCTGTATATCTACCTTTCCAATAAAAATAGATAAATCTTAAAAAAAAAAAAAAAAGATTTGGCTTCAGAGGTCAGTAATGTTGAAGTTGAGGAAACTGGTCTTGGGAATGAAGGTGCTGCCATCGGGCACTACCAGGTGTTTTGGGCTGGGTGGCCTGGATTTCTCATTATCTTTCTCAAAAGTCTGATTCTGGGGCCCCAGCCAGAGTCAAACGGGTCCTCCTGGGCCCCCAGAGGCTGAGCCTCGGGCCTAGCCACAGGACACGGCTCGTGAGTGGGCCAAAGAGACTCACGGACTGAACTGCAGAGGCGACGTTCCACAGAAGTGTATAATTAGAACAGAGCCAGGCTAGCAGGGAGAGTCTTCTGGCCAAAAATGGCAAAAGTGCGAAGTGTCCCAGCAGAGCCAGGCCAAGCCCACTGGTACAGTCCCCACCCCCCCACCCTAGGCTCCGGGAGCCATCACCTCCTCCTCCCTCCCACAGCCTGGTCCTCCCCTGCTGGCACTGGAATCCATCTCCCCACTTGAGCATTTTTTTCCTGAGGCTGAAGCATCTGAAGCCGATCAGCAAACATTGGCCTCTCGGGGTTGAGAAATTCTATGCGCAGGCTGCACGCCCCCACTCTTCAGAAGTGGGGAGACAGCGGGAGCAGCCACACAAGCCAGCTATGCTACAGGCAAGACCATCACACCCAGGCTGTGGGGATGGCACCCTCAGAGGAGCAGGGCTGGGGGAAGTAGGGGGAGTGAGGTAGGAAAGGCAGGCCCCATGAACACCAGAGATCTGTGTCATAATAAACAGGCATGGGAAGTTGGGAAGTGATCTGCCAGAGGAGTGAGGCTGGGTGCAGCAGTCAAGACACCAGGGAGCTGGCATTGTGGGGCAGCAAGTTAAGCCCCTTGCAGTGCCAACATCCCATATGGGCACCAGTTCAAGTCCAGGCTGCTCTGCTTCTTTCTTTTTAAGTTTTCTTGTTTGTTTGTTTTTTAATTGGAAAGTCAGGTATACAGAGAGGAAGAGAGGTAGAGAGGAAGATCTTCTGCCTGCTGATTCACCCCTTCAAGAGGCCGCAAACGGCTATATCTGAGCCGATCTGAAGGCAGGAGCCTGGAGCTTCTTCTGGGTCTCCCTTATGGGTGCAGGGTCCCAAGGCTTTGGGCCGTCCTCAACTGCTTTCCCAGGCCATAAATAGGGAGCTGGATGGGAAGCTGGGCTGCTGGGGTATGAACCAGCGCCCATATGGGATCTTGGTGCGTGAAAGGTGAGGACTTAGCCACTTGGTTACCTCACCAGTTCCACTGCTACACTTCTAATCCAGCTCCCTGCTAATGTGCTTGGGAAAGCTGAAGATGGCCCAAGTGCTTGGGCCCCTGCTCCCACATGGAAGGCCCGGAAGAAGCTCCTGGCCTTTGGCTTCAGTCTGGCCCAGCCCTGGCCACTGAAGCCATTTGGGGAGTGCACAAGCAGATGGAAGATCTCTCTCATTCCGTCTCCCCTTTCTCTGTAACTTTGCCTTTCAAATAAATAAAATAAATATTTTTTAAAATATTTCTTTATTTTTATTGGAAAGGCAGATATACAGAGAGGAGGAGAGACAGAGAAGATCTTCTGTCTGATGATTCACTCCCCAAGCAGCTGCAACAACTGGAGCTGAGCCAATCCAAAGTCAGGAGCCAGGAACTTCTTCTGGGTCTCCCACATGGGTGCAGGATCCCAAGGCTTTGGGCCGTCCTTGACTGCTTTCCCAGGCCACAAGCAGGGAGCTAGATGGGAAGCGGGGCTACCGGGATTAGAACCAGCGCCCATATGGGGTACCGGTGCGTTCAAGGTGAGAACTTTAACTGCTATGCTATTGCGCCAGGCCCAATAAAATAAATTTTAAAACAAAATAAAATGAGACTAGGTGAGGAAATAGAGGTGGAAGGCTCCCCAGGAGGCATCCCAGTTGGATTATTTTCCTAGAATTTGACACCATTTAGGAATAGAAATCACAGTTTCTCTATCTTTGAATACCCTAAGCCTTCAACCCAGTAACTTGCACCTATTAGAATTTAAGGAGAGAAAGCAGGGGGAGAGGGCCCCTGGTTATGCTCATTTCAAGCTAGTGCAACAAGCAGCTATGCTGGGGGGGAAGGAATGAATGAAATTCATAAGAGCTTAAAAAGATAAAAAGATCTGGGAGTGTAGCAGTTGTAACTTCTATCACTCCTGGAACACAGCCTTCACCCAGCTCTACAGAGCTTGTCCAACCCGAGTTCTTCTGATCTTCCCCAAAGATGATCTGAACAGGCCCGGTGTTGGCCCCCTACGGGGGCCGAGACTCACTTCAATCCTAAACTACACAGCCGCACCTGAACAACGGTGCCTTCATCTCACCTGGCATCGGCCTCGCTGTAGTACTCTCTCGCCACGATGTCTTCAAATAGCTCCCCGCCAGTGACGCTGTAACCAACAGAAAAGGAGGATCAGGGGAGGCTGGGCCCCTCGGCTGGTGTCCAACAGTGATGGAGTCGCAAGGAATAGAGAGAAATGTCAACTTCAAAAAGTTTATGGAAAAACAGAAATAAAAGATTAGTTGAGGGGCTGCTGTTTGGCCCGGCATTCAAGTGCTCGTATCCTACACTGCTTCTATTCCCAGCTCCACCTCCTGATGTCAGCTTCCTGCTGATGTGCTGGGAGGCAGCAGGAATGGGCCACATGGTTGGATTCCTACCATCCACATGGGACACCTAGATTGGGTTTCTTGCTCCCCCGCTTTGGCCACAGTGCGGGGTCATGGGAGACATCTAGGGAATGAACCAGCGGATGGGGGCACACTCTTTCTGTCTCTCAGATAAATTTAAATAATTAAAAATTTACAAAAAGTGATATATTTTGTTTGGTCCAAAAAAAAAAAATTGAAAGTCATGCCCAGTTTTATCACAGTGTGATTTTACATGAACTGGGTGAATCCATCAATGGCACGGGACTACTTCTTGGGGTATCACAAGCCCTCCCTTCCTGCGGTTCTCGGTTTCTAGAACCCACAGATAAGCTAATAATGTAGGGTTGGAGATAAAATAACTGACCTACCCAGAAAGTCAGAGCTTTCACACCAACAGGAGCACTAAAAATAGAGCAGTCCAGGCAGGGCAGACCTCGTACTGAAGCTGAAGGCTAATGAGATCAAGGACACAGAGACCCCATCCCGAGGAGACTCGGGGCTGGAGGGGTGGGGATGGAGAGGGGGGCAGCAAGACATCTCCAGGCCTGAAGAGCCTCTAGTAAGATATAAGGTCACAATTCACAGTACAGGTGAGACCCGAGAGCCTGCATCCCAACTAATAAAACTACCTTCTCTCTCCTGGAATTTTCAAACTCACACAGAGCTGTGTTTTATTCCTTCAGGAAGGACAGCAAGAGAGGTGGAGGGGTGGAGGGGTGGAGGGGTGGATCAAAAAAGTTTTGGAGTCCTGTGGGAGACTGGAGAGAGCACAGCAGCCTCTGCCCCATCACCTCCAGGCACAGAACAGAAGCCTCAGTAGAGACTGCAGACCCCCGGCAGGCCTCCACCCCAGCCTCCGTCCCAGCCAGCAGGAAAGAAAGGCCACCCGGGCCCTCAGACATGGCACTTACAGGTCGAACACGAGGTAGTGAAACCCTTCTTCAGAAATACTGTCATGGAGGCGCACTGCAAGAGAGGAGATGGGGACAGAGATTAGCAAAGAGAAGAAATATGGAAACCCTACTCTTCTCTCCAGCAACCCAGTTCCAGGTTATGTCACCATGGAGTCAAAGAGTGCACCCTCAAAACTCCACAGGTGACTGATGCCATAGCTAGGAGCTCTGGGGCTCAAGAGCCAAGGCGCAGCACCATCTGGGGGATGTGATGTCTGCATCCCTCAGCAGAAGGCCTTGGGTTCTAGTCTCAGCTCTGCCGTCACTTCCAGCTTCCTGCTCCCGCACATCCTGGAAGGCAGCAGAGATGGCTCAACAGCACCTACAGACCGAGTTCCAGCTTCCTGGCTTTGGCTTGGCCCAGTTACGACTGTTGAAGGCATTTGGGAAGTGAAACAGTAGATGGGAGATATTTTTTTTTAAACTCTCTCTCCCCTCAAGACCTTTCAAATAAAAACAATAGTAATAATTTTTAAAATGAAAAATAAAGTCAATCTGGAGAAAAGCAGGACCCTTCCCAGAGAGACTAGAGCCAGAGAAGGTGGCCCTGGGATCTGATGCATGATGGTTAGCCACAGGGAGATCCCATTCATGCCCTCGAAGGCGGGGGGGGGGGGGGGGCAGGGAACGAAGAATGCCAAAATGGGAAACTGAGGGCCCTTTCTGAGGAGCAAATGGCAAGAGCAGAACAAAGAGGAAGAAGAAGGTGGGGGAGGCCAAGGCCGGCAGGAAGCACAGAGAACCAACCAACATTCAGGAGCTCAGCAAACCACTTATCCATTCAGGCGATGAGGGCAAGGGCAGGTTCTAGAACGCTTTCTACCGGCTAGGCTTTGTCTTAGGCTCCTGGTGTACATTATTCATCCCACAGCACTGTCCAACAGCCGACTGCATCCTGGACCTGATGCTAGGTGGAAGGACCCTGGGGGATAGAGGATATGGTGCTTCCCTTTGAAGAGTTGACTATTATTTATGTATTAATAAGGAATTTATTTGCTTGTAAATCAGGGTTGCATAGGCGGAGGGAGAAACAGAGAGAGAGATAAGACATCTTTCACATACTGGTTCACTCCCCAGATGGCTGCAATGGCCAGGGCGAGGTCAGGAGCTTCTTCTGGTCTCCCATGGGGGAAGCAAGTGCCCATGCACTTGTGCCATCCAACACTGCTTTTGCCAGGCTATTAGCAGGTAGCTGGAGGGGAAGTGGAGCAGCCAGGACTGAACTGGTGCCAACTGCTGCTGTTGGTGGCTTCACCTGCTACACCATTTCACTGGGCCCTGACTACATTTTTTTTCAATCACCCTGAGATGAATGTGGCTCCCACTTCTCCGAGGACACTGGAGGTTCTGAGCCAGAAAGTCTCTGCCTTAGAAGGTCGAAGAGTTTCTAAGTGCTGCGTTCAGATGTCAGACCAGGGCTCTGTGAGAGCAAGACTGCTCCACATCACTGCTCGCAGTGAGATGTGAGTCAGCCTACACACCTACGTACCACAGCAAGGGGGCCTAGGAGATGTACACACAACATCAGCAACAGCCTCCTCCTGGGAGGAGACGAGCACAATCCACCAACCGAGAGAAATGACCCGTGACATCCCTACCTCCATGCCAGGGTCTGCCAAACTCTCCTCTCCAAGCTTCTCCCCACAGACACCTTTAGGTCAAAGGTCAAACCTTGAGTACCATCCAGATGCAAACAGGACTCGCCCTCTTCCCAGTGCCCATCCTTCCCCTCTCCTGAACTCTCTGTCTTCCAGAAAGCTCAACTTCCATTGGACCTTTGCTCCTACCCTCAGCGGATACAGGAGCACCTCAGGAATGCCTGGAGGGCTTGGGTACAGTGAAGTCCACTGTATATCTTCCTAGGTAGGCCCAGGGCTGCATCCATCTTCAGGTTCAGAGCTCTCCTTTGGAGCTGAAGCCCTTCTCCAACTCCACTCCCCACCAAACAAGATCAGACAGCATACAAAATGCCTGACCCAGCCACCCCCTATTCCCAGCCGGCTGTTCTCCTCACTTGGCAAAGGAGGGCCCAGAGGCTGCCCAGAGCTGGGCTAGGGCCTGCTGCTGCTGCGTTGCCACCGGCACACAACACAGTCCACCTCACTCGATCAGCTCTGGTTCTCAACCCTAGAGTCCCACCCCAACCAATTTACAAAAGCAATCACAGGCAGGTGGAACTTTCAATCTCCTTTCTCTTCCAGCTGCTCTTGCCTAGACTTAGGCAAACGAGCTTAGGCCTCCATGGGCCGAGAGAGGAGGCTTTAAGGATAGGACGCAGGAGCGAAGGAGCAACAGCCAGACCCCTGTTGCCCTCGTGTCCAATGAATCCAGGTCCACTGACTTGTGTCTCCTCGCAGTCTGACCACCCCCTCCTGACTTACGCTTCTCAGGCTCAGCAGGTGCCTCTTTCTGAGTCCTGCTGCGGCTGCTGCTCCCTCGCCTCTTAAAGGACTTTCCATTTAATTAAAAATTTGCTATTAAAAAGCATTAAAGTGTGTAACACAAATAATCCCCTGGAAATCAGCTGTCCCAGAAGCCAAAGACTGGCTTCATTAGGGAGGTGACTAACAGCCGTGGCATGGTGAACTGACAGGACAGCAGGTAGCACACTTAAAACCACTCCAGGGCAGTGCAGCTGCTGGCTCCACCTGGCTCTGTCTGGCTTTTCAGCCCTGTCTCACCTGGACCCCATCCCTCTGCCAAGCTGCCAGCCAGATACAGCATGACTGGGAATGCAACAAGAGGTACAGGTACCCACTCCACGCCCCAGACAACACAGCCACTGCATTCCCTCGCCCTTCTCCAGAGAGGCCACACACAGAGCCCAAGTGGGAGGAAGCCAGAGAGGGGAAACTGGAAGAGCGGGAGTAGCAGAGGAAGCTAATCCTTCCAGGCTACCCAGCCAAGGGAAGGGCTTTGATGTGGGCCCAGAGCAAGGCACCCGAGCCACCACCGGCCAAGACAAGGAAGGGGTGTGCATCTGAACATGACCACGGCTATCTTTTTTGTTTTAACTTGTAAAGAAAATGAACAGCAAGCGGAGGACAAGAGGAGATACCTGACTTTGCTGTTGTCCTGTTTGCCTCATGTGCAGGGTCACAACTGACAAGAAATGTCCCTGCCTGGCAGGAGAAGAACCTGAAAGAGGCTCTATAAGAAACATGTCCAGAACTGGGACTTGAAGTCCAGACGAGCCGACATCCCAACTGCTCACACTGCTCACTCAGCGGTGAGCCACTTTCTCCAGGCTCTTAAGCAAAGGAGCTCTCTGGGGCCCCAGCAGCAGCCCTGGCCACCATGACTGCCGAGACAGTGTCTATTAAGTAGCTCCCCAGACACTGGCTAGGAGCCTGGCCCTGCCACCACGGACTTGAGACCAGTGGCTGCACAAGTACATCACCATGCACCACTGGTGTTGAAGCAGACAGCAAGAGAACCAGAGAAGCATGAGATAAAATAATCTGACATAGTGAAGAATCTGGCATGAAGGCTGCAGACGGGAAGATCCAGGAAAAGGAGTAGTAAGCATTTGCTGCATGTTGGCGTTACGCCTAATTATTGTTCCTTAAAAACCGGGGAAGAAAAAGGGCTTGCCAAAACACCAAAGTACCTTTTTTGATATTTCATACCTTCAAAGTCAAGCTTAAATGCCATGGTTCTTTCTAGTTCTTAAAAAAAAAAAAAAGAAAGAAAGAAAGAAAGAAAACCACCCAACAACATTTTAACCAACAGAGAAAAGCACACACACACACACAAAATTGTCACTGTTAACACCACCATGGGGCAATAACCCAGGGAAGTTTGTGGGGCCTGAGTCTGTTGTCCCGCTCCCACCCCCAGGAGCCTGCTATGCCAGGTCCTCAAACTCTCCTCCCACCTTTCTGCCACACTTAATGTTGGCTGAATACCTGCTAGCCAAGGTGAAGGGCAGCCTGGTTTGAACAGCAGAGTCAGGGCTGAGGTCTCAGACCTAACACTTTGGAGACGGCATCTTCAACTATCTTGCCAAACCCTCCTACAACAATCTCACCGAGGGGTCCGGATGACAAGATGAGTCCAATAACTCACCGACAGTCTCAGCTACCAACCAGGAAATCCCAAAGTAAAGCCTCCGGTCTATGCCTCTACAGCCACAAACCTTGTCCTCTCTGAGAAGGGACCTTGGACTACAGGCCAGCAGTGGCAGCATCACCTGGAGATCCAATGACTCAGAATCTGAATTTTGACACACTCCCTGGCTGATTCACCAGCACATAAAAGTTTGAAAAGTGCTGCTCTAAACCACAATGCTAGACTGTGATCGAAACTGCTGGGGCCGCTCAGCACGAAAGAAGACAGACTCTATTCATTAGAGGAATTGAGAGCAGGGAGCCAGTGGATCCCAGGCAGGAGGCACTCAGCTCAGTCAGCGATGCTGCTCGCTCCTCGCCTCGTCCAGGGCTACTCTGAATTTAGCCAAGTGCCTCACACCCAACAGGCACTTGTCTGATTGCTCTTCAGCCATCAACTTTACTTTTTTTTTTTTTTTTTGAGCAGTCTTTGGTGCCTAGCAAAAACTGAGTGAAGAATGCAGAGTTCCCACATACCCACCCTATAGCCACTGTCCACACACACACACAGCCTCCCCTACTGTCAACATCCCACACCAGCGTGGTACCTTGACAAGGATGAGAGCTTACACTGACACAGCATCATTACCCAAATCTCACAGCTTACAACAGGGTTCAACAGGATTTTAACATCTGTGACAGAATAGCTATTAGCACGGGGGTGGGGGGGAAGCCAACTAAAACAGGGGTGGGGGGCTGGCTTCTGGCACCAAGTAACCTTCCAAATTCAAGCGCCCCCAAGTCTGACAGTAACCAGAGCTTGACAAGATGTTCTCCGTTCTCTGCTCCCTTCCTAATGAATGTGCCATTCTAGGTCTGATCTCCTCTTAGGATGGAGTTAACGAACCCAGAGCCAAAGGGGCCACAGCTTTGAAAAGATGGAGCAGGAGGAGAGGGATAGTGAATTAGGGCAACAAAATTGCCTCCTCTTCTGCCACCAGCCAGGCCCGGAACCATGGCAACCCCCACCTCCTGCACCCACAGCTTTGCCACATCTCTAAGAGCCCTGGTTCCCACCAGAGCCAGAGAGCCCGGCCAGCCAGCATTTCCAGCACACAGTCTGGCTTGCCCTTCCCTCTGCTTGCCCCAGCCCAATGTCCTTTAGGACCTGGGGGAGGTCACAAAACAGCAGCCCAGTTCTAGGTGTCTCAATAAAAGTGACTATGCCATGTCTGGCCTTTCCCAGGTCTTTCTAGCTTTCCAACAACACAAAAGGTTGGGTTAGATGGTCCCTTATCTGCCTTTATGCTGAGCTGGGAAAAAGAAAAGGTTATCACATTAAGCCCAAGAAGTCAGGAAGTTTACATTTCACCCTAGAAATACGTTCTCTTAAGGCAGGGCTTTTCCAGCTGGAACCCCATTTGTGTCCTTCCTGTTCCTGTCTTCATTCGACTCTGATCTCTTGGTCAGCTGCAGCTCCGTGGCAGGTGATGCAAGCACGGTCCTGCCTCCAGCATCATCATCCCTTTACACCTTGCTCGCCCCCTTAAGGACAACTCGTTGCTGTTGTCTGTCGTTCACAAGAGGCGTAAAGGAAGGAGGTTTGTCTTCAGACCCTGACACCTGGGGCTGGCATGCCAGAATGGTTTTGTGCTGGTGAGTGTTCTTTGTGTTCCCCCACATGCTTTTTTTTCTCACAGTTCTGGGGTTTCTGGTCAGATGTCAGAAGCTCACAAAGCCTACAGGGCAGCCAGGTAGGCAAGCATGGGACAATAGGGAGTGGCAGGCCAGCAGCCAGTACAACAAAGGGGGCAACCACCGATGCTGGGCAGGCACAGGAGTGGCTCAGCAGAGCTGAGCCTTGAGAGCTGAAAAGGCTGCGAAACAGATTTTTTTTTTTTCCAAAACGAGAAATCTCAGTTGCAAATATTGGCAAATAATAAAAATATTTTTAGACCACTGAGTCAGCCAAACCAAACATGCCTGAATCTGTGACTGTCGTTCTAGGTGTTTCTCTCAATTGGCTCTCTCCTACTGAAGGCAACCTGTTGGCTCCCACTGTGCTGTTTTCAGGTGAAGAGACCACCCAGGATCAGCAGTTCTAGAGCCAGGACCTGCCAGCTGAGAAGTGCTGGATGGCTCTGGGGAGCGCCCTGCACCGGGCAGAGCAGAGCGCTGGCTGTGCCAATCTGCTCTGGCTGGAATCCAAGCCGCTGATTGCGATCTGTAAAGCCCTGCACGGCTGTAGTTCTGGTTGCCTCCAGACTGCTCCTCTGCCCATGGGCTGGAGTAGGTAAGAGCTCATGGCCAAGGTCCCAGCCCCAGAGCTGGCAAGCTAGAGGCTGGGGGACCCTAGAAGGCGCAGCAAGCTCCAGCAAGTCGCCAGGCTGTCGTGGCGGCCGGCAAAGCAGAGCGAGGCAGCCTCCGGGGCACTGTGGGAACCCTGATATTTAGGCCATGCCCGAGGCGCATGGGACATGTGCTGCCTTTTGTGATGACTCAGGGCTTTCAGGGAAAACCTAGGAGATGCTCCCTGCTCTGTCTCAAAGCAGCACTGGGGATTTTGCTCAGACACTGCAGCGAGCAGCTTCTGTCCCTTCTGCGAGGAACACCAGATCAGAGCCAATGCTTTTGGCAAAGACGCCTGCCACAGAACAATGTCAAAACCAAGCTGCAGTGGGCTGGGGCAGGCAAACCTCCCCAAGCTTTAGAACAACCAACAATGTGCTCTTGTCCCCCAGTCAGGGTGGGAGCAGGGAGAAATCCTTTTCATTTCTTTTTCCTTCCCCATCTGAGTGGCTCCTGTCACCCCTTCTCCAGAGAAGCCGGGCAGGCAGGCAGCTCACTCTCCTGGCTCTGGGCAGTGCAATCAGGAACACCATGGAAACCCCAAGAGGATGCGCGACACCGCACCGGGAACAAAAGTCTTTCAGGTTCAGAAACAGAATCTTGACCCTTTCACAGTGGCATGACTAGCACTCCTGGAGAGGGAGGGCACTGGCAGGCCTCTAGCCTGGAACTCACACATTGCGGACTGTGGACTTGAGCCCAAAGGAGGCAGGAAAATGAAGAAAGTAAGTGTGAAACCCACTCGGACGCCTCCTGTCCCTAAGCTGGAATGTGCTAGAATTCAGAGACACAGCTGCTGCCCCAGACAGACATGACTCCACACACAAAAAGAGCAGGCGTCTGTTCCATCCACCCTCTGTAGTATACCTACAGAATACTCTGTGGGTGTGGAGAGGGGAGCGTGGGGGCTGCACTCACCGATGTTGGGATGTTTCAGAAGTCGGCATATCCGGGCCTCACGTTCTAGCTTCTGGTGATCTAAAAGTAGGAGACAGGGAACAAAAGCCATCAACCATCCACTTGATTTGTGGTCAGCTGGCACTCCACAATCTTTCAATTGTTAGACACTAACCCTGTGCTTCCAGAAAATTTGCTTCCTGGATGCAGTGATTCTGAGCACTTTTTCCAGATATAAGGACAAATTCTGAGGGGTTGAGCACCTCAACTGGTGTCAGAACTGGGTTTGAAACCCAGCTAAGCTGTATGTAGCCTAACACAGGACCATGAAAATGCTGGCAGCCTTGCCAGTATCCTCTCCTCTGGCCCTCAAAGCAGCCCTAAAAAATAACCTTGACTACTAAGGTGTGGGTGATGAAGAGGACGGTGTATAGAACAGACATCTGTGGAGAGCTTGCTTTTGCATCAGGCAGACATATCTTTTAACAACTGTATGAGATAGGCACGATCCTGACTCCCACGAAATGAAACCAGGACACACATCCTGCCTCTCTGCATGAGCCTCTTGGCCACCTACCACCAGCGAGGGCTCTAACTTCTTTGCCTTTGGGCTCTGGAATTATGCTGGGTTTTAATGCAGTGACCAGAATCTGTGCTACCCCAGGTCTACAGTGAGGCACTCCAGGGGTCAGTTCCTTCCTCAGGAAAGTGGAGCTCCAGGAAGTAGAAAGAGAGGACGTTACTCAAACCCAGAGGCCAGGAAGCCTTCCCTGTTCTCCAGCCCCGCCTCTCCTGGCTGGAAACTTGCCCAAAGTCACCTTCTTCAGCTGAGTCCTCCCTGGGGTGGCTTGCCCTCCAATCACTCTCCGATATCCCACCATTTCCCCTGACCTTCACATTATATTCCACCAGTTGTCTTTTGGTCATAAACTTATTAAGGCACAGGGGGCTGGCAAGAGGGGCTTTCTAAACCAGTACTTTGGTAGAATTCCTTCTACAAACAGGGGCTTAATTAGGGCTTATCTGTAACAGCAGTGGTAAGGATCACTCTCATTCACTAAGCATTTCCTATATCCAGGCAGAGGCAAGAATCTTCCTATTTCACCTTCACTAGAGGCTGCAGAGCTGGGGTCTCATTAGCTCTATTACAACACAAACCAGCAAACTGAGGTTGAAGAAAAGCAGCCGGCACACAGTAACATGGATGGGAGGTGGATGCAGGGGGTCTGGGCCTGGAGTCCTCTCTCTCAACCACCGTGCTATGGTAAGCAGATAAAGAAAAGCAAGACTGTCAATTAGGACTCCAGGCTTGGGGCAGGGTGGGGAAGGCGCAGAATCCATCTATTGCATCCTGACCTCTCCAGACCCAGCCAGGGTTTCTTCATGCACATCTGCCAAGAGACCCCTGGCTTCCTTGTCAGTGCTTTCTCCACACCCCCTACACCTTGCTCCATAAAGCCTCCCACGGTCCTCACAATAACCCAAAATGCTACAATCATTTCCATTTCACAGATGGAGAGCTGTAAAATGAGGCCCAGAGAAGTGAATAACTTGTTGGAGGATCCACAGCAGAAAAGGGACAGCACTGGGACTCAAACCTTGACCCGTGAGTCTGAGATAATGCAGGGATTTCAAATGAGAAAGAACTTGCAAGTATCGTTTTCTCCAAGCACCCGAAGCTTGGTCCTAAACTCTCCCTCTAGCGACAGCTCTTTGTGGAAGGAGGTGGGGACGGCAGAGATTAGTTCCTGCGGCCCAGCTAATCCATCGCAGCTGCCCGGGGATCTGGGTCAGCCTTTCTTCCTTTTCTTCCATGTGGGTCCATGACCACTGACTGGGATGCAGCCAGAAGAACCCCAGGGAACCCCAGCTCCCATACTGCCTTGTATCCTTCAGTCTCAGACACAGGGATGTGGCCAGGGACCTCCAGAAGCTGGGGCACTGGATGAAGCAGCTATCACTTTGCCTGGTGGGTGGGAGGCTTGCTTTTTCCAGATCTGGCCAGATGTCAGGCAGCCCCGGTTTTCTCCTAGCCCCTGGGGCTAAAGATGCAGGGGTTGTGCTAGGCTGGACCATACTGCAGCTTACTTGCTGGCAGGGTCTAACTGTCCACCTCGCTACTCTCACCACACAGTTCTTGGGCTCAGTTGCCCAGGCAGGTGCAAAACAGCATCTTGCAATGCAGACATGGCAGCTGAAGGGAAGGCCCAGAGATTAATGTTTATCTCCTTCCTTAAGTCTCTTACTGGCTAATGGTTACAGTCCCACAACAGCAACAACAGCACTAAAAATAAGGACACTCTGGCTTTTCCAGTGGCTTGGAGTAGAGAGAAGAGAGACATGGTCTCAGGCTCCTGCTCCTCGAAGGAGCTACCCAAAGTCCAGAGTGCCTCATTAGTCACCGACTTCAACCCTAACTCCAAGGATCTGGGACCCCAAATCCCAGACAAGGTCCACATCTTCAGTGAACTTGGGAGCTGCGCCTTGGTTCTTGCTCTGATTCTCAGCCATGCGGCACAGCAATTAACATATCAGCGTTGGAGTCAGATAGCCCCAGACGGAGTCCAGTTCTGCCACATCCAGCAAGTTATTAAACACACCTGAGCCGCATTCATCATTTAAAAAAGTATTTTACTGGGTTCCAGGTTGCAACAAGCACTGCTGATGGAGCTGCCGGGGCGAGAGTAGGAAAAGAAACAGACAACAGTGCCTGCCCTCAGGGAGCTAGTCGGGCCACAAGCAAGGAGGGGACAACAGGAGGCGGAAAATCAGGCAGGGCAGGAAGGGCCTGGGAACTGACAAAGCGAGGATGGGGAAGACCCCAGCAAGGAGGCAATAATTGACTCTCACCTGCAAAGAGTGAGCACATGAGCCAGGTGCAGATCTCAGGCCAAGAATCTCCACAGTTTCAACAGAGACAGCAAGAGCTGAGGCTGAATGAAGTAATGTGGACACAGGGCTTTGCATGCTGCCCGGCACACACCAAGAGCCTCCTTTCCGAGGGCTCCCATCAGGTGAAACAAACAAGGTGTCCTGGGCTGAGCCCCAGGGACATCAAGAGAGACAGACATGCTCTCTCCTCCGCCTGAGCACATGCAGTCTCCAATGCCCTTTTAGAGGTGTCCAGGCTGATGAGGTCCTTCGTGGCCAGACCCAGTGTGAGCGAGACACTCCAGCCCTGCCTTATGGGACCCACCCGTGTCTGCAGCTGGCAGGTGAAGGTGAGCCACAGGAGCTCCTCAGAGGGAAGACAGCCCTAGGGGACCCACCCACAGGGATCCCTCCTCTTCCTCAGCCTGGCTGGCAGCGGCGCTCTACCATGAGAAGCTCTCTGCTCAATGAGCCGTGTGGTTTCTGCCAACCAATCTCGATCCCAGCCTCCCAGGCCACGCACAGGCGGGCTGCCACCCCAGTCTCTCCAGCTGTTGTCTCCTGTCTCGGTCCTCCAGGCTTCCTGTGCTGTAGTCACCTCTGGGGCTGGTCCACGGCTGGGAACAGAGTGCTTCATTCCAGCAGCAGCCACATGTAATAGCACGGAGAGCATCCTTCTTAGGGGTAAGGGCATCCGCTAGGAACACAGCATCCATCATCCCAAAGCAGGCCACTGACCTGGCTGGGTCCTCAAGACTAGGAATAGGCTCAGCATCCTAGGCCTCTTCCGTAAAGACTCTGCTACTTTGAGTAACCACTAGGGAGCAGCTTGGACCTTCCAAGACAGACCCTCCTCCCACCCACCTTTCTACCAGCTTGTCCCCACCCCCTCCCACAGCCCAGCCCCCCCTTCCTGTTCGACAACAGCCACTTCCCGCTTTTGCACAGGGCCACTTCCTGCCCGCCTGTGTGCTACTGCCATGGAGACCCACCCTGCCGGCCCTCAGCCCAGTTCCAACCACAGCCCTCTCTGCAAGGTTCCCCCACCACCCCTACCCCACCCCCCAAGAGCAGAGGTGGCAACAGGAGCAGAAAGCAGAAAGCAGCCTGATCAAGGTCCTGCTCTGGCTTTCCCCACTCCACGTGGGCCCTTTCTCTATGATCCATCCAAGTTGGAGCTGGGCCCTGGGAAACAGGCATCCCTGGAAGCCTTGCTGCTCCCACCTGCCTCCCCAGTGCCTCAAGGTTTGGTCCAGGATGCTGCAATTTTACAGGAAGGGCGGTGGAGAAGGACCAGCCGCACCACAGGAGGCAGAAAGAGGAAGCAGATAGTCAGCTGACAGCAACAGTGTGCAGCCAAGGGGCACATGCAGCCCTTGAGCCCCCTCCGTCCCCATAAGAGGAGCCTACTCCAAGGGCACTTCCTCCCACCACAGGTGGGGGACAGAGATGGCCAGTCACTGGCCAAGCGAGCCACGCTAGGACTCTGCCCGGCTCCAATTCAAACACACCCTCCACTTTGCCAGGGATATTTGTGCAGGTCTGTGCCTGGAGTCCCTGGCAGTCCTCACAAGATGACTCCTGCAGCCCCTTGGATTTGAGACATCTGATGGGGGGGAGGACTCCATTCTATTGCCCTCACCTCTTGCCAAAGGAGCAGAGGCCCTGACTGCCCTCCTTGGGCAGCACTCTGAAGAGCAGAAACAAGGACATCACGGGGATTTGGTATCACCATCTACCTTCCCCAGCTGCTTCTGAATGCCCCTGAGCCTTGGCCATGGACTAGTGGGACTCTCAAGCCACAGTCCCATTGACCTTGCCCTGACACCACGATGCCACATCCCTTCCTCTTTCAGTCTCACTTGAAAGGTGCAAAGTCTCCAACTAAGAGCAGAGTGTATCCACCAACTAAGAGGCCATCGCTTCTAATTCTTTCACACCCCAACACCTGGGGATGAGCTGAGGGCTTTGAAGACATGGAGACAAGGACTGAATCATACATACCCGACTCCCTTATCTAGCATAACCCCACTTTCTCTTCAGTCTCAACTCTGGCAGCTGGACCCCCACCATGGCCTTGGGGTATTAGGACAGGGGAAGCTTTAGCTAAGAAGGGAAAGTAGAAGGGGCCAAGAAGTATCCCAAAGCTCAAGACTCACAAACTAGCTTTGATGGAGAGAATCCCCCAGGAGGGTCACTAGCACAATCTC